ATTTTATTTCTTCAATATACATATGTTACAAGGGATAAAATTCTATTGATGCTTCACTATATAAATTTTTATATAATTTGATATTGCTAACAAAGTTGAATTTACCATCATGATTGCCACAAATTTTTAATACTAAATCCTAGGATCAATATTTGATAAACATTCTTCCACTGGTGCAAATAGAGTCTATTAAACATATACAAGTGGGGAATTAATTTCCCATTATCATCCATTGGTAGAATATAAAGTGGATGATTTAGTGTTAATTTGTTATCCTAATTTTATGATATGTGATTTATCTAAGGGGCTCCTTACTTAGTGGAAGGGATTGTATTGAGTGTTGCAGAAAATTGCACTACAAGTTTATGAGGTTTAACATATGCCAATCTTTTAAAAATTATACATTTATAATGGTTAAAGTACTTTGTACAAAGGGATTAAAATAATTTACACTACCTACAGATCCACTAGTGCCTCTTAATATTCTTCTAGATTTTGGCTCAATTGCCCTCTATCCTTCAAAAGGGAGGGGATGATATAAAGTTTAGGTCAATGCTATTTATTAATATTAGCATAGTGGGATTTTGATAACTATTGAATTGATTTCAATTTGAGCTACTCAATTCTGTATATAAGTTAAGGTTTTTGGACTAGCATCTTTCTATATTTTATTTCCATATTTTATGCACTCACAAAATTAATATCTTATACATCTTTTTATAATTTTACTTATATAACTAAATATAATTCTTAAAAATAATTGTTAAAAAATTAATATTTATAGATAAAAATATATTTATATCGACAAAATATTTTTTAATTTTTTAGTTTACTTTATAATTTTAATTATTCAAAGCCCATCAATTCTTTTTATATTGTCAAGTTGATAACACTATCACTACTAACATTAGCCCCTTCATGAAGGTTTATCCTTACCTTCACATAATTTCCTGTATTATACAATATGAAATAAAAAAGAACTCTTAAAGAGTTTATAGAAGATGACCATAAATTGTTATTCTTAGTTTAAATTAATTTTATGTTAAAACATTTTACTTGTTATGATTTTTAATATCTTTGAATGTTTTAAAAAATTCTAACACTATATATTCCCCTGAAAATATATGTTCTTACAATTAATAACTTATTTATATATATTTATCATAATAAATATATAATTATGGATGATTATCATCTTTATGTTTGTGTTAATGAATAATAAAGTTATTGATGTTGCAAAAATAAATATTTATAAGATATGTTAAATTTTATATATTTATATCTTTATATTTTTTATAAAGATAAAGCTACATCTTGAAATATTAAATTTTTTAATATAAATAAATTACAAGAAATTTTTCTAAATTGTAATATATATATAGAGAGAGAGAGAGACACACACACACATACACACATTTACATTATTATGTATTCATTTGGAGTAAATTTTTTTTTAGATATTACTATTTTTTGAATTTTTTTACAATCATAATTTAATATATTGGGACATTTATAAAATTTAATTTAGATATGCATTATTTTCTATTTTCAAATCCAGCAAGAAATCTACATGTGTAAGGTTTACACATGTAAATATAATTTTTATCATATTATTTAAATGTATGATTGGATATTTTATAAGGTATAAACTTACAGAATATTAACTGTAGTGGGCATTAAATGATAAAATACGTTTTAATGAAATAAAATTGGAAATTCATTTGCTTAGGTTTCCTCTAACAAAATTAGTAGAGGGACTTCAAGGATGATGCCACGCAGATGCCGTCAAGAGGCACAAGTCTTTCCACCCAAGCTTGAGCGTTCCATTGTCCTCCACCAGAGTGTATCCTTGCAAAGGAAACATCCCTAGCAACAGCGTCGCCTGTGTGGCTGCATTCCCAGCCAACGAAATCGGCCGAAACCCCGACTGCTTGAGCTGATCCCTCCACTGCTCAAACTTGACCTCTCCAGTCCGTGCAGGCCCGCCAACCGCCAGTATGTTCTTGATCTCGCAAGACAGCAGCTGCTGCTCCACCATATGCCGATCCGGACTATCCTCCGGAAAGCTCGCGCCAAGAGAATCAAACAGCGCCGAATAGTAGTGCAGCGCCTCCACAAACCGGTTGAGAAACGATCCCGCGTGGCTCAGATCTTGCTCCACCATGGTCACCACCTTTGGCTCCAAAGACCCAAGTAGCTTCAAGGTCTTGGAATCTGACCCGGTCACGTCGTAGAGCGAGTGGTGCAGCCAGTGCACTGCGAGCGCGTCGCCCGGCCGGACCTTGAGTGTCGCAGCGTCGCAGTGGCCGATCTTGTCCGCCACCGCGAAGAACTCAAAGGGCAGGCCGAGCGAGCTCGCAAAGTCGGATAGCCTCTTGCCGGTTGCCTCGAGCGCCTCGGCCGAGGTGCCCAGTCCGGTGATCCGGACGTTCGGAGGGCCTCCCGGCCTGGAAGCCAAGATGTGGAAGAGCGCCGGCCACTGCAATCCTTGCATGATATCAATGTCGACAATGTGGACGCTTTGCTCGCCCTCGAACGCCTCGAGGATGGCCTGGTTTGCGGTGAAGTGCGAGAACTTGACGAGAGGGCACATCCCGTTGAAAATCTGGAACGCGGCGGCGATGCTGTGGTTGTAGACGTGGTGAATCCCCGGGAGCGCGGAGCAAATGCCCAGGCACGAGTTTACCATCCGCGCCGCCATGGCCTCGGCGAAGTAGGCGGCGACGCGCTGGACGGAGCTCCCATATGGCGATGCCAGCTCCGTGAGCTGGGGCTGGATGAGGTTGGCCTCCTCGAAGTTGTCCGTGGAGATGGCCTCGGCGCACTGGAGAAGGAGCGCCAGGAGCTGCAAGCCGGCATCGTCGCTCGTGCCGGCGATGGTGGCGGCACTCGTGGCGGTGGTGGTGGCGGTGGCGGCCCCGCCACCGCTGCCGGCTTGATCGTCTTTCCCCGATGGCTGGTCCTGCGACTCGGAGGATTTGTCTTTGGAAGAGTTTGTTGGAGAAGGGAGCTGCTGCTTTGCGTGATTCTTGTGCTGCTGCTGGCGGAAATCGCTTGGAATTGTTGGTGGTGGTGGCGATTTCTGGGATGATTCTAGTGATAACTTGAGACCATCGTGAGGAGGAGGAGGAGGAGCCTGCTGCTCGAATGACTTCCCTTCCATCGCCATTTCCTCCACGCGACTATTCCCACAGTCTTCCAGACGGTGGGGTACTGTTTCTGGATCCACTCTCGACCGTTTCAAGCTCGGCTGCTCCACAGCCGCGGCCGCGGGATTGACGGAGTGGCCATGATGCTTGAGCTGGTTTTGCTGCTGCTGCTTGAGAGAGTGATGACCATGCAACATCTCGTGGTGGTGCCGCAAGCTGATGATCCTCGACTCGATAACCGAAGCTACGTGAGGATTGCACGGCGAGAGGTTTTCCAGCAGCGACTGCCATATGTGCTCGGCCGGCATGCTCGGAAAGCTGTGAGATATGTCACTCACCATCGTTTCCAGCCACACTGCAACAGTTCCCTCGTCCATGGACCTGATCTCGTTCATGGAAAATCCTCCTCCTCCAGCCGGCCCGGCCTTGGAATTCATGCTCGAATCGAGCTCCATCGACGTGGGAAGTGTTCCCCACTGCTGCTGGCTGGAGTTTCTCCCATCGTTGTAGTGATCTTGCTGGAAGAGGAGACTATTATCTGGCGCGAACAATTGCGAGCTTGGCGAGCGGAAGAGATTGGCGGCGCTGCTCGACGACCAGCCGGATGGCCCGTGGAGTGATCCCCATAGGCCTGGTGACGCGCCCTGGAAGAATCCCGGGCTTGGAAGCTGCCATCCTAGAAGTGAAGGAGATGGCGGCAGCTCCATGGTGGACGAGGAGGAAGAAACCCGCGACTGGGAAGATGACTTTGATGAGCTTAAAGTCGATGCTCCTGGCTCGTACGACGTCGTGTTCGTCGCTATAAGTGACAGTCCACCATCGCTGGGCGACTCGAAGGAGGAAATACCAAAGCTTTGCGAGTTGTGGTGGAGCGTTTCAGTTGCGTGTTGGTGGAGCTCGTCACGATCTCCTCCCATTGCTCCTCATCTTGGTGATTGGGAGGAGGCCTCAGCGGCATTCTTCTGTTCATGGGAAAGACTAGGTGAGTAGCGTCCCAAGAAAAGAAAGAAGAAGACAAGTGATAAGGGAGAACCATCTACAAATTCTAAAGCGTTTTCCAAGAGATTATAGGTAGAAAAACTTACGCGTTGCCTTCCGACGTGTGCGTGACAACTCGTTCACTGGGATCGACTGATTGATGACTTCTATGAAGGCTACAAAGCGATGCTACATAGATTGCTGCTGCTCACAGTGGAAGATAGCAAAGGAAAGAACAGCGCGTTTGTTTGCGCGATCCTTTCAAGCTATGCCACACACTAGACAGCGAAGAAAGGGAGCGAAGGGCGCGACAAGAGGACGACAAAACAAAAACCAGCCCTTGATTCATATTAATTCAAGCACTGTGTGACCGAAACGGGATGCCAAAACTGTTGAAACGGTACGTGGTTTCTTGCCGTAATACACTACTGTTTTGCCTTTTGCTCTTGAATTTTTATAAACGAAAAAAGAGAGTGAAGAGTATTTCAACCTTCACTCGTTTCAATCCAAGGAAAAGATTTTCATATAGAAAAGCTATATGAATGGGCCAAGTTTTCCCCCCAGTTGATCGACAAGTTGCCAACTTTTTCTTGCTTCAAGCAATCCACATGGCGCGAAGAGGAGCGATGCAATTTTTTCTTTTGGCAACCACAAGGTCGGCAGCAATGGAAATGGTAAGCTGTGATTTCTTCGAAATAGTTTTTAAACCTGTCTTAATCAGTGGACACGCTTAGAATGCTCTCTAGTTTGATTAAAATACAAATAGGTTTGAAACATTCGGGTCGGCTCCAAATACAAAACGGTAGCTCTCAAAATAAATAAGTTTTTTTTATATATACACATATATTTCAAAAATGAGCTTGAGAGGGACTTCCAGTAAATTGCAGGCCTTAGCAGTTGTCTCGAGTATGGAGGCGGGTTCTCACTGGACAACTATTAAACAGCAAGTATTCTTAAGACTTCCTCTCCCACCTCCAAAGAGTTTTGTAAATTTTTATGTTCTGGGTGCATGATTACCACCACCAGGGGGAGAAATTTTTAAACATGGCACTCTATGCAAGTTTATGTGTGTTTTTTTATTTTTAAATGATAATAATAATGATGGTATATAAATTACTGTTTTTTCTATCTGGTGCCCTGCAAAGATCTGGGGCCCGAGATGAACTCGCAATCCAGCAATAGGTTGGAATAAAGGACAGTGGCTACACTTAGTTAAAAAGTTTTTAGAGCATTTATCTTAATTTATACATATTGTCTTTTGTATGACCCCGGTCATATGGAGACGGATTATCCTGCCATTTGTGATCACGACTGCTCTGGACACACTCGTAAATGCTATTAAGTGCTAAGTAACTCTTTTTGGATGGATTAAGTTAAGCCTGGATAACATTTGCTCTTCTCTTGTTTGGAGAGATCTGTCATATAGATGGGGCCACAAAATACGCTCTCCAAAACCAGAGAAAAATCTTGGGTGTTTCTCTTCCTTTTTGACAAGAAAAAAGGCACACAATTTTCAGCTCTTTTCTGTCCCTATTTTTTTCATGCATAGTGGAGTCGTGGTTGTGTCTGTACTGTAGTGACAAGCAAAGCACTTGACGCGGCAGCCCCTGGCTAGCCGCGTGAGAATACCGAGCAACACAACAAAGAATATAAGAATAATAAAAAAGACCATGCAAAATTTTATATATATATCCGTATCACGGTTTCGTAAAAAGATAATCATTTACCTTCGAACTAAACAAAGCAAATACGAAATCTATCTCATCCCTGCGCAGGGTTTTACTCCTCGTCTCTAGAAACCAGCACTAGATTCTCACATGAATCCCACGTCCTTGGCTGGTATGTATCGATTCGCGATGATACATGGAGCTTTCGTTTATGGGGAAGTGTGGTAAAATCCATCCATTTCGGTGGAGAAAGAGAAACGCGATGTAGACGTTGGATCCTCTCAAATCTATTCACCCGGTCAGTGCAGGGTACGATGCATCTCGGCCGTTGGAGGCCCACAAGCAGCGGCTGGGATCATCCGGGCTGGAACTACGTGCATACTTTTTTCCTGTACTTTTTTATATATTCTAATTTTTATTTTTCTCAGAGAGACCATGAAAAGCAGTGCAGCCCAGGCTATAGCAGCAGAGCAGTCTTTCTCCGTTTCCTCTTGGTAAATGTTTCGCGATTTCTTTAGTTTCCGTGGCTCTTTGAATTTGATCCCTTGAGTAGTTTTATATCTCTGGTGCTGCGTACAAATGCCGTGGCTGGGCAATTCCGTGGTGGGGCTTAGATTTTGCGCTCAGTGTGCTGCAGCCAGCGAGAAAACGAGGGAATATAAACTGTGAATCTGGTGATGATGGTGCGGCTCCGCGTCCACCTTTTCTTATGTATAAATTTATCTATATACATGAGCGTGAGGACCAAGAGACAAACTTGTACGACTTCATACAAGTCATGCAGACTTTTTCTTTCGAAATTTAAGAATGCAAACTTTAGCAAGGGTCATTTTTGTTTTGGAAAAGTTCCAGAGCTGACATTGGTTCGTCTTCTTTACAAAACCAACATCCTTTGCGAGAGAAAGGCGCTTAACAGTCGTAAAGTTTTTTTCGAAAAGGTGGTGAAACATTTGACAAAGCAGTCAAGCGTCAAGTTTGCACAATGACTCTCCGGTGTCCATGTTCTCCACACGTCAAGCCGCTCGGCTTGGTGTGTGAGTCTCACGGCCTTCTGCATCCTTACTCTCATCTTGAAATTCCTCCAATCGCTTGCACCATCACTTGAATTCCCGTATGACATCTTGCTCCATGGAAGACAAGATGCATGGGAGCAAACTCTTGTTAATTCCTCAATCTAATAGTTTAAACATGTAGAAATTGAGTGGTGTTAGCAATAGTGTCTTTTTTTTATTCATACAGATTAGAGGATGTACTAAAGAAATAATTTTTGGTTTGCTCAAGCAAACTTGTAGGGAATATATCTAGAATATGCTTGAATATTCTAGGATATTCTACCATGTAATGGTTGTTATTCATTTAGATTAATCTTGTATTTATAATTTATAAACTTTCTTAAACCATTTCTAGTATATTCTTTTTTATTTTATCATTTTAATCTTGTGTTTATACATTACAAACATGCTTATAATTATAAAGTGTATATGATCAGTTGGATAAATAAGTAAGAATAACACTACTATTAAGCAAACCAAGCATTGTTATGTGCAATGCATAGCAATTTATTTTGTATTGTGCTTAACCTTGGTGTTTTGTTAGTGAAAGTAGGTAAATACTAGCTTGAGAATAATAAAGACTAAATATCATTTTCATATTTTTAAATTTTATTTTCTTATAAAGATAGAAATAAAATATTTCAACCCAATGCTACGTGAAAAATGTTAAAAATATAAATTTTAAGTATAATTATGGAAAATAATGCTATAGTAACATATTGCAACAATTTTGCATTTATCTTATATCATATATCACTTATAAGGTTTCACTTTTATCTTATATTTAGAAAACATAATTGGTAAATAGAAATGTAAAAAATTTTAGAATAAAAATTTATCCAAGTTAATTTATTTAAACTATGAAGATTTAGGATAGGGTGAGTGTCTTTTCACAAATATTTATAATTGAGAAAAACAATCTCAAACCTAATTTGCTCTATATAATCTTTTTATATTTATAAAGAGACATAAATAACTAAAATTTTAATTTGAATAGTTTTAAGACACTTCAAAACTGGAAATACACAACCAACTTGACTATAAACTTTACATTTTTGTTGTTTATAAATGAAAGTATTATTTATTATTAAATTATTTTTCTAAAAATAAATTCAATATTAGGATCTGATATTATTTATTAGGAATAAAGACATTTTTTAGTTTGGTAAAATTTTAGCACATCTATATTATTTTAATATTAATTAAAATTAAAAAGATGAATAATGAAATATTTAGAATTTGATATAATATTAAATTTTATATAATAATTTATATAAAAATATATTTATCCTGACACATTTTATTTAATATGTAGTCCTTGTGTTTTCTTAAAATATCCAGGTATATTTAGGATATTCTTCAGTTTTACTTTAAACTTTCTCTATTTTTTATTTGCGTAGGATGGTAATGGATATACCTAGAAAATGCTTAGATATTCTTTGGTTGTTATTCATTTAGATTAATCTAGTATTTATAGTTTATAAAAATGTTTATAATTGATAAACTTCTCTAAACACTTTGTAGTATATTCTTGTTTATTCTAGGATATGTAATTTTGATTTATAAACTATAAACATGTTTATAAATATTGATCAATTGGATTATTATTTTTAAGATCAGTTTTATATTCAAGTTTTAATGCTAATAAGGTTAGAGTTTTAAGAGTTTTAGTAATGCTGCACATTGTGTGACTGTGATCCTATCAAAAATTTATTTTAGAGCTCCTTAACAAGATGCAAATGAGAAATGTCACATGTGTTGCTCTTGAAGCTTTTGGAGTGTTCTAGTAGCATAGAAAAACCAAGAAGAAAAAACTAGAGATATTTTGAGCATGGGGCAAATGATCCACTTCTCTTTCCAGTGTGAGTGTGTCCCTGCAAAACAGTAGCTCGAGCTAGGAAAGAACTGTGGATGAAAATGTCAGCCGTTTGCAACACTTAAAGCTATACAGAGTTTTAGAAAATTTCTTGAGCATCTCTTACACTTTACATTCATATACACTATAAGAAAGTTTGTCATGTCTAATTCCTATTGGTTGCTGCTTGGAAATGTCATTCCATCCAAGGATTGTTCTTTCATTAGCTTGCCACTTACAATGAGTTTTCTCATAAATTACAAGCAGATGGATTAGAGATGTAATAAACTTGCTACCAGATGAAAAATCTACTATTTTAATTTGCCAAACCAAGCTTGCCATTTTGATTCTTGATGCAAACTTCAATAAGTTAATCCTAAACGAAATTGATTATGTTATACTATCAATTCTTTTATTGTATATTATATCTTGTGTGTAACAATCAGACTTTTTTTCACTCACTGGGACAGCTAGAAATTTTATGTGTGCAAGCCACCTATAATATGTTACATTGTTGATGGATTTGCATATAAAGGTAATTGATAAATGATAATTAATTAATTCAATTATTCATCAAACTATTTCTTTCTTTTAAATCTTAATTAAATTAAATTAAGTTCTACTTTTTTATTTTAATTAAAAGAAATTCTAGTGTAATCATCATCAACGTCATTAATGTCATCGTCAACGCTATTTCCTTCCCTGGCTTCCTGAAGTGTCATTCCACAGCTTGTCTTGATCCTTAATATTCTCCAGTAAAACCGTTAGCAGTAAAAGGAGGCTTGGCTTGAGAAAGTCCAACAATGGTCACCTGCAGAGGCTCCTCACTTCTCACCACCACCGAGCATCATTGTGAAGAAGGCCACGGTGATGGATCATATTCAGGGCTCGAGCAGCTTCTCGTCCAGCTGATGCAGCGTCGAGAGCATGGAAATCGCGACGCTAGCCACCATACCTCAGCACAAGCACAGCAAACATGCCACCACACATAAACCCATAGCTCCTCAGCTGTGGTATGGCACGGCCTTGGATACTCAGTAGCTTCATGTATGCCAAAATCTCCTTGACAATCCCTCAAGCAGCTCCGATGGCTCCCAAGGTCCCGGATCTTGAGCACCACTTCGTCGCCACCGTTACGCACCTTAGCATGGAGTATGTCACAGTTGAATTTGTAAAGCCTGCGCCCCAGCTCAAACTCTCCACTCGACCAAAATTTGAGTTCCTCATGGATTTGGTCCCCAGTGCTGCTACCATCTAGCGTCGTTGCAAGGTCTTTCACCATGGCCTTCATCGCGTGTTTCATGCCTGTGAAATCAGTAACGCGGCCTACATTCCCCAAAGTTTCTGGGGGTTTTACCACCTTTTCCTCGGACAGAGCCATGAGGTACCAGAAGCAAGCCAAGGTGACGCTCTCGGCCTCCACCGGCAGTGACAGGGCCAGCACAGTCTCGTCACCGTAGCAAAACCAGTACTTTCTCCTCGTTGTCACGAAGCCATAACGCAGGCCCCGCGACAGAGCCAGGATCTCCCTCAGCCGGTTCAACGCCGGCCAAAACTGTGATGCCGGTGACGAGACCAAGTCCTCCCGGATACGCGACGGTGGAAACGCTGGCAAAGTATCGAGCTCCACAATACCCACGAGCAGAGCCGGAGCATCATCCCTGTCTCGCCATTCCACGCAGATATCCGGCCAGCCCACCACGCTTTGAGCAGAGAATGCAGTGATGTTTCGTCCCAGGCGATGCAAACCGTCCTGGAGGTCCATAGCCAAACCCGACACGTCCGAGATGGGCTCCACGGTGATGTCGGGCTTGGAGTAGAAAGAGCCCGTGCTTGGCAGCTGCTTCGAGAAGTCTTGCACCAGCGCCCAGGAGGCTGACGCAAAATCCGTGTGGATGCTTTTGGAATTTCCTGGGAAGACACTACCGTCCTCGTAGACCGGTGGCGGTACACAAACCTGGGCCAGCTCTGCGGCCGTGAGCTTACTGCTCGGGTTCTCCCTCCCCTTGTCGGTATGAAACGAGGCACCATCGCCATTGTCAACTCTTATTGGGTTTAGGGTTTGGAATTTTATTTAACAAACTGTTTAAGCTGTTTTCTATATGTCTAAACGTCCTCTCGATCGACAACATACACCTTAGTTATGTTTACAACTTGAGCATCAGCACGAGCTTCCACTTCGGCTAGTCGAGTTTGCTGTTCATTTTCTGTAGCAGATTCCAGGTTTCTTTTTCTTTTTCCCTTTTCTTCTCTTTGCCGGTGACGAGCTAAGTGCCTGGAGCTTTTCCATTCTGTTCGCCTTGGCTTGAAATACGAAATTTATTCATTTGAAATAAGTGAAATTCATTTTAATTTAAACAACTAAATATTTCTAAGTAGTAAATTTTTAAGTTGCATTGACTTTAACTTTTCTACTTTGAGCTAAAGTTCATCGTAGTGGAAAGCTCCAAGCTTCCACGCCACAAATGCAGTCCCAAACATGAGAGCCGCAATAAGTGAGAAGGAGATGATGAGAACGATGGGACGAGTCCCCCTGATGAGCTCAAACTTGTACTCCTTGTCAGACTCGGAAGGCTTTGGATCGTCGAAGATGTCCGCCGGTGCTGCGTTCACCATCCTTGGCTGCTGCCGCCTCTCCTTCCACAGCGTGTCCAAGATCTCCTTCCTCGACGCTAGGATCCGCTCGTCAATGTCTCCCGTGCTCCTCTTTCGCGGGGGAGTCTGCAGGGGACTCTTGTCGAAGGGGCTGGAAATGGCTGGAGCTGGAAAAGCTTTCGACGCTTTTGTAGTCGATGGCTTGGCCACGGAGCTCGAAGTTGGAGCTGGGACCTTCTTGTCGCTGGAGACGGAACCTCCATTTTTTATGGAGAAAGGTGACGCGGGTGGGCTAGGAAATCGCTTGCTGTAATCCGAGGAGTCGAGCACCGAAGGTGGCGACGAGGAAGAGCTCGAGGTTGGTGTTGTTTTGGCAATCTCTCGCTGCTGCACCGCCTTTCCAGCTGCAAGCCTTGACGATATCTTCCCACCGGCAAACGGGCTCGAGATGGCGACCTTGGGAGAGATTTCCTGTTCCTCTTCTACCCTGGCATTGCTACCTGTACCCGGTTCCGTTGTCCCATCTGTGCTTCTACGAGCGAAACCGACCCTTCTCAACGACACTCTGGAGGGCGCTAACGTAGACGCTGAATCATGGGGAATTCGTCTATCCTGACTGAATTGGTAGCGAAAACTCTGAACCTGCAAAGCCAAGTCAAGAAAAGTTCAAACGAAGCCAAAGTAAGATCAAACATACGCTTGCTGCGAGTGAAGACTGTGCTGCGAGAGCCCCCATTCCTCGAGGCTACTGCCTGAAACATAAGAATGCGCTGAGAGTCAGTCTGGAAAACAAAGACGCCAAACGAATGCTGCCCACTAGAAATTTACCTCTGCTCTTCGCTCCCTTTTAAGACCCTACTCTGTACCCGTCAGCAAGCCAACTCGGAATATCTATAGCCACGTCAAACTCAGATCTTAAACTCAGATAGCATTTCTCCGTAGGCATAGAAATACAAACTCAGCGTTAATATCTACAAGAAACCAGGAAGAGAACGTACGTGCTAGGTACCCCAAGACGAAGGCAAGTACCGGCCACACCAATCTTCCACCTAGGCAAGGGGCGTCAATAAGAAAGATGCTACAAAACTTTGGAACCGCGCTTCAACGAGAAGAATCCAAGCGCTTGTGGTTGTTTGCTTCTCTCTCTCGGAGAGGATTCTTCAATCTGGAAAGCTGCGTGATCAGTCCAGTGTTAAAACAGTTTTGAGTGCCCGACTCACCTCCGACATAATGTCCTTTAGGACCAACGTGATTTCGGAAAAGTCAGGCCTGTCAGCAGGATTTGTTCGCCAACACCACTCAAGTAGCTGAGAGAACTTTGGATGGGCATCTTGAGGGATCGTTGGTCTTAGTTCCTATATGTGTGACACATGCAGAGGGTAAGCATACACAGCCTCAGGGAATGTCGGAGATTACCTCCTGGAGTACTCCGACAGCAACCTGAAATGGTGTCATTAGCTCGTAGGGAACCTGCAGCAGTGATAACCATCTTTTATGCACGCTACGCTTTAAAGGAAAAGGACACACCTTCTTTGTTAGCAATTCCCACAGCAGCACGCCAAAGCTAAACACATCCGCCTTCTGATCGTAATGACTGTGTCCAAGTACCTGAAACAATAAAACAGAAAGAACTTGAGAACTTATAACACAAGAGGCAACAATACCTCCGGAGCCATCCATCGATACGTTCCTGTTTCAGCCGTCATTATTCCATCTTGATCTTGAATACGAGCGACACCAAAGTCTGCTACTTTGACAACCTGAAAAAACCTCAGTGGAGCATATAACTAGAAGAACTGCAACATACCCCATTCTCATCCATGAGTAAACTGGACGCTTTAAGATCTCTATGAATGATGTTGTTCTGATGCAAATAGTCCATGCCCTTCGCAATGTCTAAGGCAATTCTCAGCAGAACATAGAGGTGAAGATTGCCTTTTTGTTTCTGTAAGTAGTCATGCACAGTCCCGCCGGACATATATTCTGCACGAAACAAATTAATTTATCAGAGGTTACGTTAAATGCAATTCGAGTACTAACCCGTCACTATACAGAGATCTGGAGGTGTTGTGCATGCACCAATAAACTGTACGATGTTCTTGTGTCTGACTTTCCTGAAACCAAACCTATAAGAGTTTAATGTATAGAGAAATCAGCGTACCGCATGATAGCAATCTCGTGGACAAACTCTTGCAAATGCTCGGTCCAAGTTTCTGGCTTGATAACCTTGATTGCAACGTCTTGGCCACAAAATGTACCTCGGTATCTGTGGCAGAATTAGCTCCGTGAAAGAGAATTTTACTATGTACGTACATGTCACCGTTTGAAGAAGGGAGAATTTTCTTAATGCGCTTCAACTGGCTGGAATCTATTTCCCAATCATCAGGAGCGTCCAAAGGTATTTTCCACCCATTAGTTCCCGCTTGCGGTGCAATGATTGAGTCGGGTGAAGACGATGGTGATACAGATGGCGATGTCGATGGCGAGCTTCGCAGCCACACCCCTTCCTGGCAGGAAGTATGGTAAAGTTAGATCCAAGAAAAACTCAAGAGCACAAACTAACCTCCATACAGGCGACGGAGTTTCTTAGTGCTTGTTCTAAATCCTTGATATTCTAGGAAGCAAGTGCAAAACTCTGTAAGCCAAAGATCTTGGCTCTGAAGTTACGAGTTTCGATCAGGCGGTCCTACCTCGGTATGCCAGCCATATACTACAAAAACGTCAAGAGAGTAACCATCAATTGTAGAAAATATGTGAGCCTCCCATACATGCAGGTTTACGTCTGCAAGTATCGTGGAGAGCTGCAAGCAAAATATTATCACGGCAGTTCAAACTCTGAAAAGATCTTAACCTTGCTAAGAAGTTTTGGTTTATCAACAGTAGAAAATGTCACTTCGTGCATTTGCATGTCTCCTATCCTTGGACTGCAATGACGGGTTTCAATCGCATCAACGATAGAAATGCGTATAGTATTTACGTACGTGGAACACATGCTGCTCGTCGGGGTGAGAAGTCTTCCTTCAAAGGCAGGAGGAGAGTGAGAACTGTAAAGAACGAGAAATCAACAACAAGCGCATGGGTCAACTAAATCCTTACTCTGCCTTAGAAGACGGTGAATATGATGGCGAATCAGCTGGAGAAGAATTCATGGAGCTCGCATCAGGCCTCTCGACCTACAGAAACACGAAAAGAGTTAACAACGGAAAGAAGGAAAGACAAGCAAGCAATGCGTACAGACACAGCTCGGACATATAGAACAGGCAAATTCTTTGGATTTTCAGCTTCCTCCAACATTTTCTTATGGATGAGCACGACTTGGGCCCTGTCTTTCCTAACATCTGAAGCATACCTGCAAGGAAGAAACGATCTCCCTCTCAAACCCAAGAACAGAAATTCCAGACCATGTAAAAAACTTTCTACCTGGTAGGGAGACGAGCAAAGTGAGCACGCAGCTCATCAGCGAAGCCTGGCTCACTGGCTTCCTCGTGACCCTCCTCTACAAGACGCTGGAGAATCTCAGTAAGAACTTCCTGCTTGGTATTCCTATGCTGCTGATGGGGCGCCCAATCCATAGCCTCATTGGCGTCGCACCCATTCTCACTCCCATCCACCTCCATGGCTTACCGCGGCATGAAATTTCCCCCTCAAGTGTCATCCAGCAAGCAAAACCGGTGAATCCACGCGATTGCCCGGCGAATCGGCCTCGGCGCTGGGCTCCGCATGGCAGCTGGCCGCCAAAATCTCCTCGATCTGAGCTGCGGCTACGGCCGTAGGCGCTGCGCCACGCTCCAGAGCGCGAGCACGAAAACCCTAGCGCAGTGGTACACTGGCTCTACCAGACCTAGAAGACGCTTCTAACTAGGAGCATTGGACGATACACCATATTCCATCTCTCTTAAGAGCTGCCACGTCATCCGGAAGGGACGGAATCTCCTGCAATGGAGGACGATATTGATATTTTATGCCCCGGCTTGACCAAGCATTTGCTTATCTTAATTAATAGCCTAATAGAAAAGTTCCACCAGATTGAGTTTTCTCTGCGAGGTAAGAAAATTCTCTTCAAAGAATGCACGGCAAAGGGATTTCCACGAAAGCTCTAAAGAAGAGCATCACTTCGGAGCTCTTCAAACCAGTCTCCAATCTTTCTCGCCAAGTTCTCTACGTCTGCGAGAGCGGCTTTTCTCACTGCCTGGCTCACGGCATCGACCGGAGTGTAGATTTTTCCTGGTTCTAGCTTCAAATCCTGGGAAAACGAAGGCCTGAGGCTCGTTTCTTCGTAGCTTTGGAAATCCTGGGAGACTTACAGGTAAGAGTGGTGTTGCGTGTGTTCCAGTCAAGGCCATCTTCCTGAGCGTGCCTCCAATCTTGTCTACTTGCGGTCTTAGCAGGGCTTCGAGAGAATCAGTCTCGTCGATAGTGTCCACGGAGAATTTCACCTGACGAAGTGATTGATTACCAATGGCAGGGAAAAAAAAACACTTTTCTTACCAGGAGAGTATGAGAAACTGCGTAACTGCTGGAAATTAAGCTTCTGTTTTGCTCTGGAGTGGGTTTAAACTCGGAGACTCCATCAGCAACCTGTCAAACTTTAAAACATGAGAAGAACTTTGAAGAAATAAAAACCAAGAGTAAAAACCTGACCGAAGACAGACGGAATTTGTTGAATAAATCTCCTCACAGGCTCCAGACTTTCTCGCTCTATGCCCGGTGGCAAAGGAAATGGTGGATCCGCTATGGCTTTCATTGTCTCCTCTACAACCAGCCATCCAGCTTGAGGTTGTGGAGAAAAAATATATTACCTGTTAAAAATTCCGCAAAGGCCATCACGGGTGAGCCTTGAGCTACTGAGGATAAGGTCGGTCCTAACTGGAGGAAAATTAATCAATCAATCAAAATGTAGCTCGGAGAAAGACCTGATCAAAAAATGGAACAGCCTGAACCGCAGGCTTGTTGTTGAAAGAGATTATTGCACTGGCCTGTTAGTGTTAGAACCATGTCATTACCAGAAATACAGAAGCAAAGGAAAAAAAAAATCTCACCTTTGGAAGCTTTTCGTCTATACAATAGCTTCCTATCAAAACCTGCATGAGTGCCCCGTTGCTGTGAGCAAGAGAAGGAGGGAAAGTCTTTACGAACAGAAACAATGCAAACAGATAGACATACCTGTGACCAACACTTATCACTGGAAGCTCGGCGACATCACTTGGAGAGAGCCCAAACAATTCGCAGCCCGATTGTGCAAGCAAATTCAAAGACGAGCTCCAGTTGCCGTGAATTCGTCGAGCACATAACTCGTGATCGAAAGTAACGTTGTAAGGAGCTGCCATGATCAAGAATCCCTGCTTCGCAAGGAGCTCAATAAAATAGCTGACACGAAAACAAAAGAACTATTCGCAAGGGAAGACTAGAAGAATTCTTCTACCTGTAAGTCAGCTCTGGAGCAGCGCCGATAAATGCCCCCCCAAGGAATTGAACAAGCGCCTTGGGCTTCTTCTTCCTCGCCATCGCGTCTGGAGCAGTGTAAAGCAAGCAGTCGCCCACATTCTCGTATGGGAACGCCAAGGAATCCCGAATTGCACCAATCCTCCTCGAGCCACGACCTAGAACACGAAAAATCGACTGACGCGCAGACAGACCTGGGCGCTCGGCGATTGGAGCGCAGCGCAACGCCATAGCCGCGCTAAAAAGCCCTAAAACCCCCGCGAGGAATATTCGAAATTTGAAAGCCAGATATTTTCCAAAGCCCTTATCTTCATCGGGCGGCCAGAGGCCAGCACAAGCCGGAGGACGATCCTGGCCGTGGATCCAGGCGGTGGACGGCCGAGATTAAAAGCGTAAGAACCCTAGATAATATCTCGGGCTAAAACCCCTAAAACCCTATAGTCGCTTTCTCCCATTTTGATTGGCATTGGGTTAAGCCACGGCGCTACTGTCTCTTCCTCCTTGGTTTGGTTTAGGCGATAATGCTGCGGTTGAGGATCCCTCTAGCGCCCTCTGCCCTTCGTTCCGCCGCTCGAGCGGCAGCAGTAGGCGGTGCCGCCACTCCATCGCCTCCTGCTCGAGGCGCCGCTGCCACTCCGCCGCCGCCGTCGCCTCGCATCGCCGCCATGGAGGCCGTCTCATGGCCCGCCGCGAGCTGCAGCGTGCCCTTGGTCTCGTCAGGTATGCTCGAGGGAATGCCAGGGTATAGGGTTTAAGTGTGAGGGTTTTAGAGGAGGAAGAAGAGCAAATGTAGATGCGAATTTGGGGTTTATCCTTTTTGTTGTTTGTTGTTCTTGATGTTCTTGTGTGTTTGTGGTCTCGAGATGCTTTTTTTTTTCTTGTGCGTTTTTTTAAGTGATTTTTGTTATTCATGTGCGTTTTTACAGGCTCTGGTCTCAAACAAACGAGTCTCCAGTCGACTTTTAAGTCCAGCTCGCGAGTATGGCTTCCCAGGCAAGGAGGTCTATCAATGAGAGCTTACTGCGCGGTGGCTAGTGCTGAAGTTGCAGCGGAGCCTGAGCAAGTTCCACTCAAACCCATTCTCACTCCAGCTCAACAGGCTCTTCAGCCCGCTAAGCCACCTCCAGCTGGTAAGTTTGTTATCTTCTGTCTCAGAAGCTCATCTTATTGTTTTTCTTTCAGAGTCTGGAGAAATCGAGCTTGATCCTGAGAAGCTGGCGGAAGAGATGAACACCTGTTCTCCCTTGGAGATCATGGATCGTGCGTTGGGAATGTATGGCAATGACATTGCCATCGCTTTTGGGTACGTCTTTTTGCGACTGCTTTGCAAGTAGTCTCTCATTTGCATTTCCTCTTTTCGACCAGTGGAGCTGAGGATGTCGCGCTCATTGAGATTGCGCATCAATCCGCGCGACCATACCGAGTGTTCACGCTGGATACTGGAAGGATGAATCCTGAGACGTACCGGTTCTTCACCGAAGTTGAGAGGCATTACAACATCCAAATAGAATATGTTTTCCCGGACGCTGGAGAAGTTGAGAAGTTGACCAAAGACAAAGGGATGTTCTCCTTCTACCAGGACGGACACGAAGAGTGCTGCAACATTCGCAGGATCAGGCCTTTGTCGAAGAAGCTGCAAGGCCTTCGCTCCTGGATCACTGGCCAGCGTCGGGACCAACTCCCAGTTTCTCGTGGAAAATTGCCTGTTGTCCAGGTAAGGAAGCTCTGCGAAATCCTCTTTGTTTCTAATTTTCTCTTGTTGTGTTTTTCAGATTGATCCATCTTTTGATGGCCGAGATGGTCCAGAAACTCTGCTGAAATGGAACCCACTGGCGAGTATGTCGCATAATGAGATCTGGAGATTTCTCACGAACATGAACGTGCCGATCAATGAACTTCATACAAAGGTGATTTTGCTTTCTTTTTCCATTTTGCTTCATGTATTTTGCAGGGGTTCGCTTCGATCGGATGTGAGCCTTGCACGAGATCAATCCTCCCATGGCAGCACGAGCGAGAGGGACGGTGGTGGTGGGAGGAAACCAACTCCAAGGAGCTGGGTATCAACAAGGCAAGTTCTTCTTTCTCTTTGATCTGTGAAAGTTAAAGCTGAACATTGTTCTCTCATACTATCAGGGCAACATGAACAACGTCCGGCCTTACCGTAGGCAACAAGAATTCGGCGGTGATCTCTACAACAATCCGTCGATCATCAAATTCAGTCGTGAAGAAATGCGAGCTCTCGGCAAGACCACGTCGCGTGAAAAGTCCGGCGTCGTGTGCCTGTACGCCCCCTGGTGCCCACATTGCCAGGTATCCCGTTTTCTCTTTACAAGTTCTTTCTCGATGTTCTCACATTCTTGATCCTTTTTCCCTTCTCTTCAGGCCATGGATGCCGCATACAAGGAACTCGCCACGAGGCTCGAAGGCACACCAGTCTACGTAAGTAAAAATCGCGTTGTTTCCGCAGAGTAGAACATGATCGATTTTTCTTTTCCAGATTGCCAAGTTCCGTGCCGATGGTGTGAACAAGATGATGTGCCAGCAAGAGCTGATGATGACGACGTTCCCGACGATCCTCTTCTTCCCCAAGAACAGCACGAAGTTCATCAAGTATCCATCAGAGCGCAGGGACATCAATTCGCTCCACTCGTTCGTCATGTCCTTCATGTAGAAGAGAGAATGGGGCGCTTTAGAGGAGGATTATAGGATTTTGGATGGATAGAGCAACTAATTCTTCGTCCCTGCGCTACTGGTTTGGTCGAAAGGATGAGTTCCAGTTGGGTGCTATCGATGGTCACTATAATCTAGAGAAGAGTTCTAGATGGTCGCTATAATCTAAAGAGGAATTCCCCATAATCTTAGAGAAGAAATCTAGAGCTTATATAATCTTCTGAAGCTTGTTAATCTTTTCGCGCCATCGTGTAGTATATTCTTGTCAACGGTAAGGATATTCGCCAATTTGAATTAGGCGCGTCACGCGTGGCCGGCCGGCCCGTTGCGATTTCTCCTAGCTACGCGACAAGCGGAGCTCCGCCAAAAGTTAGTAATAGTGAAATTTTGATGACTTTTAACGTTACTCCACATTTGGCGGACCTCCAGCTTTCCAGCAGTTAAGCGACAACGCGGCTATGTGCGGGTCTAGCTCTTTCTAAGGTTTAGGGTTCTTCCAAGAAAGCTATTGGATCGCTCTCCAAGCGCCTTCCCTTGCAAATGAGACAGCGATCCGGCAGGGAAATATCTGATATTCGTCGCGAGGATCGCAAGAGCAGGAAGAAGAGGCGGCGCGGCGTCTTGATTCTTGGAGTTTCTTGGGTTTGGAAATGTATTGTCGATGCGGCTTGTTGTGCGCAGCGCTGGTGTTATCTGGGATTTTTCTCGCGGATGCCGCCATGCTGGAGCAGGATTTGAGCGCGTTGGTCGCGTTTCGCAATGCCACGGACCCCTCCAATCTTCTTGGATGGAGCACGCAGCGGGATCCTTGTAGCTGGCAAGGGATTACGTGCATCAACGCCACGATCGGGTCTTCCAACGGCAGTGTAAGTGAAATTCGGGAAAGAGTGTTCAAGATCAATCTCCCGGGCGTGGGGATCTCCGGAGCTGTCCCTGCCGGCGTTCTTGGATCCCTGGACGAGCTCATGGTTCTCAGTCTGAGGTCGAATCTTCTCTCCGGGCCACTTCCCGGCGATCTCATCAAATGCAGGAAGCTCCGGAGCTTGGTGCTGCAAAGGAACCGATTCACGGGCCCGATTACGTGGGATTTCCAGTCCTGGCCTCGCTTGGTCCGCGTCGATCTCTCCTACAACACCCTCAACGGAAGCTTGCCGCAGTCTCTAGAGGGCCTTCCACGCATCAAGATTTTTCTCGTCCAGAACAACTCCTTCACAGGTAAAATTCCGGCAATCCAGCGCGGCAGCTCCATCGTGGATTTCAGCGTCGCCAACAACAGCCTTAGCGGACAAATCCCACAGACTCTCGCGCAGCTTCCACCACAGGATTTTTCGGGCAACCTTGATCTTTGTGGGAGGCCTCTGGGATTTGTTTGCTCCGCCCCGGCATCTCCAGAGCCAACTCCAAGTAGGCCGGCAGCGCCAACTCAAACGAAGCCGGGGAGACGACTTAGTCTTGGCGCAATTCTTGCGCTCGTCATTGGCGATGTGGCCTTCCTGGCAGTGCTCACGACACTGTTCATGCTGTGCTACTGGCACAAGCAGCACAAGCGGGAGATATCGGCAGCCTCGGCCCGGAGTCCCAAGCCCAAGGCCGAGGTGAGCAGCTCCGACGATTTCACGAGGGAGTTCTCGAGCTCGGACAAGAGCGCCGAGGCTCAAGCCGGGCAACTGGTCTTCCTCAAGACGAGTAAGAACAACTTTAGCCTGGAGGATCTCTTGCGGGCATCGGCGGAGATGATGGGGCAGGGGAGCCTTGGGACGAGCTACAGGGCGGTGCTGGAGGACGGGCAAATGGTGGCGGTCAAGAGGATCAAAGGAGTTGAGCTGGGAAGCAAAGAGTTTGAGAAGAGGATGGCGGTGTTTGGAGAGATCGAGCATCAAAATCTCCACGTCCCAAGAGCCTACTACTTTTCCAAGACGGAGAAGCTCGTGGTGACGGAGTTCATCCCAATGGGAAGCTTAGCGGCGCAGCTTCATGGTAAGCAACCCGGATTTCTTTCTCCTCGTCTTTGTATACTAAGTTTTCCTTCAAAAGGTGGTGAGACACAACAGTCGATATCTCTGGACTGGTCCATGCGCCTCCGGATAGCGCTTGGCGCCGCGAGAGGGATCGCTTGCTTGCACGAGTCGCTGGGGGGCCAAGTAGTGCACGGCGACATCAAATCCTCCAACATTCTCCTCTCGCGCTCTATGGAAGCCCGGGTGGCGGACTATGGCATCGCCCAGATGCTGGGGCCGGGGTCCGAGTCGGCGTTGGGCCCGGTGGGCTATCGGGCACCGGAGCTGTCCGCCACCAGGAAGCTCACGCAGCAGTCGGACGTCTACGCGTTTGGGGTGGTGCTGCTGGAGATTCTCACGGGGAAGGCGCCGTGGAGGAGCAATCACTCGGGCGAGATGCTGGATCTCCCGCGATGGGTCCAGTCGGTTGTCCGGGAGGAGTGGACGGAGGAGGTTTTCGACCAGGGGATCTTGAGGTTCTCGGAGGAGGAGATGGTGGAGATGCTTCAGATTGCGCTGGTGTGCGTGGCGACGCTGCCAGGGGATCGACCAAAGATGAGAAATGTGGTGAAGATGATCGAAGACGTCAGGAACTGGGGGACTGGAGGGGAGGAATTGTCGTCCGAGGAGCTCAAGAGCATGGATCGGCCATGAAGGAAAGTTTGTATGGTCTCTTTCTTCTTTGATTTGTAAGTGTTTTGTGCATGACTCCAACAACAACACTTTGTGCAAATTTTTTGGCAGGAGCAAAGCTCTGCGAATAACGTAAATCCAATCATCTCCAAAGTTGGATCATGGTCTTAGAACTTTAGTAGAGTTTCTCTTCCTGGTGGGTTTGAATGACCAAATCCGAGACCGGGTATGCCACACAGGTGAGAACGTAGCCTTGTTTCACCTGGAGATCAGTGAGAAACGTTTGGTCCCTCTGATCCACCTCGCCCAGCTTCACCATGCCCGCGCAAGAAGAACACGCCCCCGATTTGCACGAGTAGGGCAGCTCCACGCCCTGCTCCTCCGCGGCATCCAGAATGTAGGAATCCTCGGGCACGCTCAGCACTTTCTCGCCCTCAGGGGTCACCAGCGTTACCTTGTAAGCCGCCCAGACGCGAAGCCTCGATCGCCCACCTGGTGGAAATCGAGCTGGCTGGAATCGCCCAATTGGAACTGGCGATGGAAATCGGACATCTGGAGCTGGTTGGAACCGTGCATTACGATTTGGAAGGCGCCCAATCGCAAATGGATATCGCCCACTTGGAGCTGCTACCAGGGAAGCCGCCATGGCCAAACACGGTAGACAATAGTAATTTACGACGACTTTGAATATTCTGCGGCAAACAGTATTGAATTTCGACGCACAACTTCTACTCGTTGTTTTCGATTCACAGAGGATCTTCGTAAAATCAAGATCGTAATAGCAAGTTTTCTTGGATTGTTTTTAAAAAATGATAAAAGCACTATCAGAGGGAGGTTTCGATCCTCCGACCTGTGGGTTATGGGCCCACCACGCTTCCGCTGCGCCACTCTGATTTTGTTACATTGTTTTCGATTTACAAATGATTGCATGCACCTATAGAATATGCTGTGTTTAATTAACTATTCGTTTACTTTAGCTAGGGCAAAGCTTAGGGCAATACACTTCTCCCACGTGCCCAAGCGTTGCTGAGTCTTTCTTATTTAAACAGTGTGGCGAAAACTAAATTGTTAACTTGTTGGGTTGTAGAGTGTGACCCTATTGTGTGTCTTGAAGTAAATAAGTCATACTCCGACCCAATAACTTTTGCAAAAAGTTTTTACTTTTCGCTACATCCTTGTTGAGCATAGTGCTCCAAGTTACTACCACCGGCATTGGACAATCAATCGATCGAAGAATCCCCTTGTATAGTCACACTATCTAATAAGTTCTACGTGGTAGGTGTTTACTATGCATGGCGTTGCTCGATTCTTTTGACTGTAGACCATGAATGGACAAAATCTCATTACATGGTAATATTTATAAGGCTGCTTTTAAGCTAGGGCGGGGAGCGGACGACACGAGATTGAGAGCTCGGAGGCGCTCCTAGGTAGCAAATGCAGGGCTTGGGAGGAGGGCAGTGCGCTAGCGATGGCGGCACAGCCGCGAGGATTGCCGATGCTAGAGCCACTCGCTCCACACTGTGCTTGGAGAGAATCGGAGACGTGCAATGGAAATACGTTGCAAAGGGGCAGGTCTTACAGAGCGAGAAATTGTTTCCACACCAAAGCGCCCTTGCGGTGAGTCATGCATCGCTTTTCTCTCTCTCTCTCTCTCTCTCTCTCTTTTTCACCTTGTTCTTCAGGAGATTATGGACTTTGTGCGATCGCATGTCGTGCCGGAAGGCTTTCCGGACAGTGTTCTTCCGTGCTACACGCCTTACATGCAATGGCGATGCCTCCAGGTAAAAGCTCTTGCTTGGATCGTGTTTTAGACGACAGTGCTGATTTCGTCCAGTATTTCTTTGGAGGTGCCATGGGCGTCTTCACGACCCGGTCGCTGCTTCATGCTCTTGGTGTCCGGAATGGAGCTTCGTCTTCGGCCATCGCTGTAAACTGGGTTGTCAAGGTCGGTGCTGTGTTATGCAAAACTTTGACGTAGTTCTAAAACGGACTTCACTTCATTTCTCAGGATGGTGCTGGCCGAATCGGAAAAATGATTTTTGCTCGGCATGGAAAGAAGTTCGATTGTCACCTTAAGCAGGTTATGCGTTTGCTCTCGTGCTTAGTTCTCTGATTCGTGAGTCTTTTACAGATTCGATTTGCTGGTGATGTCTTAATGCAATTAGCTGCGGCACTGGAACTAGCTACATCTGCCACACCACAATTTTTTCTCCCTCTGGCTTGTATAGCTAACATTGGAAAGGTGTTCTTACCTTGTTTTATTATTTCTTCTCAAGAGGCTTGTTTTTTCTTTTGCAGAACGTTGCTGCAGTGGCGTCTACTTCGACTCGAGCACCCATATACAAGGCCTTTGCGCGTCGAGAAAACATTGGAGACATAACTGCAAAAGGAGAGTGTATCGGAAACATTGCGGATCTGGTATGAGAACGAGTTGCAAGGACTGGTAGTTTGCTAACACGCTACTTTTTAGCTAGGTACTGGCATGGGAATTCTGATGTCCAAAAATTTTCCTGTCTTTGCTCCATTTAGTGCGTTGGCTTTTGGATACGTCTACAGTTCCTTTCGAGAGGTATTGTTTTCTTTTCTGCGCCTTCGGCTGCCTCAACACTCCAATGCAGGTGAAAGCAATTCAGCTGCCAACATTGAACCGGCACAGATTCGGGATTGCTGTCGACACTTTTCTAGAGACAGGTATTTCAAGTCTGGAAGTCACTTTTGTTTGACATTTTTCCTCTGCAGGGAAAGTTCCGGGTTTGGTTGAAGCAAATGAGAGAGAGCGAATTATCGTTGGTCCGCAATGGTCACTAGAGAAACTAGAATTAGGTACCCCTTCTGTTAGTTTTTGGATGCTGTTTGCTGACCGTGGGAAGTTTCTTCAGGCGCACGGGTATCTGATGCCTTCTCTGCTCCTCAAGACTACCAGTACATAGACTCTTTATTTAAGGTGCCTTCTTTATTCACAGTATCGAATGACACACACACACACTCTCTTTCTCGCTTTCTCTTTCCAGGGGGAAAACTACCTTGTAAGCTACAATCCTAAACGTCAGCGCACCTATGTTGTTCTAAAGGAAAGAGCCAACGGTGATGACGTCCTTCGAGCAGCATTTCATGTGAGTGTGTTGAATATTCTGGTCTTTGCTTTCTGATATCAGTAACTTTATGCAGGGCCAATTGTTTGTCAACATTTTTGATAAATGTTCTTCTGCCGAAGGAGCGTATCAAGAAAGCTGCAAATACATATCTCCCCTCTATGAACATTTCAAACTCGATGCCGAAAAACAGGTAAAACATTGTGGTTGACGAAGAGGTACTAAAGTTCTATGCTTTCCAGGGCTGGATAATGTCAGAGACGCTATTAAGTCCTGGAAATGCTCGGGTTTGCACCTGAAAATCGTCACCCCATGTGGAGGTAGGGAGTTTTTTGTTTTCACTCGCTGTAGAATTTCATTCTCTGCCTCCGTCGAGTTGAAACATCTTGTTTTTCAATAAAACTGCTTTGGAAGCCGACTCGCAGCTGTACTTCGCAAGTCACACCTTGTTCTTGGATTTGTAAGAGACATTTACTCGCGATCCCGAAAGGTAACGCTTTCTGAATTAACAACACTTGATTGATATTGACCACTTTTGTTATGCTTACTCTTCATCAGCTGGCTGACATCACTGCTATCGTCGGGACCCAAGCCGCTCGCACGCGATACTTGGTAACTAATTTTTTTTCTTCGTTGATTTATTTTCGGCTCCACTATCTGGACTCATGATTGTCAGGAAATATCATGCTGCTCGCTCTCGGGGAGGAAGGATAGTTGGTTCGTTATGTGCAAAGCGTTTCAAAGCGTCTTTTCGCCCGCAAGTTTATTCAGACTTGCTCGCTGTGTTGACCCCGCCATGTGAACTTGCGCAGGTTCCCGGAGATCACGGCCCTTGGAAAATTCCTATATGCCGTACGCGGTTGTCTCATTGGATGTTGCTCGGCACAAGGTTCGCTTTTTCTTTTCAATACTGAGATGACAGGAGAAAAAGTAAGACTGTTCAAGTACATACCAGCCTTTGTCTGCCACTAACAAGTTTGCTTTTCCCTACCTTGCTAGTTGACCCCCATGGCAATCCATCCATCTCTCGGCTCCGCTCCGGTTTCCGTTCTATTCTATTCGATTCGATTCTTGCAAGTGGACTAAGCCGCGGGTGTCTCACTTTTTCTTCTCCTTCCGGGCTCGCGACGGCATCTCTAGACCCCGCTTTACAAGTGTCATCCTTGAAGCAAAGGTATCCGTCGCGAATTTGTCTTCCTGTCTGTACTGTTCGTCCTTTGGTTTTGCTGACAGATCTCTACTGCTCGCGCTAAACTTTTCGAGTACTGCTTGTTTGTTTTGGACAGGGCATGTGAAGGGGGAGAGAACTTGGGTCCCGCTCGCAATCCTAGAATGCGCATGCGGTCTGTGCATCCATGGAGCCCACGCAAAAGAATTCCAGCTCAGGTAAGCTGCTCTATAGATTTGCCTGCTTGCTCTCGCTTCCTTGCTCCTTGCATCTTAAAAAAATCATTGTTTCTCGTCACACAAGCCTAGCGCGGCAGATGCCTGGCTAGCTCGTCCAGAGCTTTTGGTTTCTCTTTTTTTTTTTCTTTTTTAGCGTCCAAATCCTTGGCTTAGCTCCTGTTTAGTGGCGCCAGCCATGGCTATATTCCTGTGGAGTGATATGATCTTCTGTTGAGTGTTCTCGAACGGTTGTAGTTTTGTGCGTAGTAACCGGATGCTTTTTTGCAGGGATCGCTTTTATTCCTCCCAGTTTAATCCAAAAAAGTTGGTGGTACGCCCTGCGGTAAATCAATGTACTTTCTACATTTAGCCCCTGCCATTTCTACAACCATTGACTACAATGTGGTTGCAGCCTGGGCCGTCGATCCCCCGCACCCAACGTTCCGGATGCTCCACCGCGTAACTCGTGTGCCTGGCACAACCGGGACCGTTGGTGGCTCTGGGATGGACGACATCCGTGCGCTCTCAGCGACCCCGTAGAGAAGGGAAGAGTTTTTTTCTTTCTCTCCCCCCCGAGGTCTCTCGAGCGCACCGCCATTTGGTTTGGAGGAGGGGGACGACTGTGGAGGAAGAGAAAGAAGCGGTGTTCTTGCTAGCAGCGGCTTCTCGGGACAATTGCGCTGCGGATCTGGGAGCTCCAGGTACGTTTGCCGATCTTCAGTCCCCTGGTTTTGGGATTTCCTGGATTTGGGCAGCTGGGATTCTTTGTTGGGCTCTTGTCTTGGGTTGTTTCCTTCTCGCCGGGCGATGCCCGATTGGTAATTCTCTCGGTTTCTTGCGAGTTTCTAGAGCTCTTCCTCCCCTGGATTGTCTTGGAATTTGCTTTGCTTGCTTGCCAACGTACTGTTACGTCAGTCTAAGCTAATTATTGAACCGCCAACGAGATTTCCTGGAGTTTGAAAAACTTTCTTTGACGGATTCTCGTTTATTGCAGCCACATTTCCCTGGGAGATTCCGGCTTGAGAATATTGGAATCGATCTTCCTCCAGCAGCAGGGATGGTCAAGTAGTCTGTTTTTTCGCTCCTTCCCTTCAGTCGACTGGAATGCAGCAGGAGTCCCCGCCGGAAGAAAGTGTGATGAAAAGCGTCGACAGCTCTCAGGCCCCGCTGAACCAGGAGGAGAAAGAACACATGGAGTTTCTGGAGAACATCTTGAGCATCCCGTCGTGGTCGGAATTGGGGGTGAGGAACTGGGAATTCGGCATTGACACCTCCAAGTTGACAAAGTCAGAGCTTTCCGGACTGCTCAACCTCGGGGCCGAGAAGCAGGGAAAGGGAATGCAGCAGGACAGTGTGGCCGCGGATCCTCAGATTGGTGATATGGTGGACGACGCCTTTCTCTTCGCACAGCTCCAGCAGCAGCGGAGCATGCTCTCGGAGGGCTCTATATCACAGCTTATGGAACGAGCATCCTCCAGCCTCGACATGGTTGGCTCGCAAGGCTCCGAGCCTTTGCTCCACAGGCTAGAGGACGTGCCGATTGGACTTCCCGTAGGCTCGACACTCGTCGGGAGTGCTCCACCGAGGCCTGAAGCTGGCCAAGCTCTATCGCCCTCGTGGCGCCAGCCGTTCATTGGAGGCATGCCGCTAGAGATGTTCACGAACTCCAACGGGGGGAATGTCTACGGCAGAGGATTCCGTGGCGGCGAGGAACTGGTGCGAAGATGATGCGAACTTTGCAACTTCGTCTCTGGTTATGCTAACGTAAGCGGTGCAGGGTCAAGCCCGGGATGGAACGCCAGGAACCATGTTTAACGTCTATCCTTCGCTTCCTCAGCCTAGAGCGCCCGTCCCGCCTTCGCAACAGGTGAGCCTCTCGAGTCATAGTGGTTTTGTTCGAAAAGCTTGCGAGTTGCAGGTGAATACCAGTGCTCCGGGGCCACAGTCTGGCCAAGCATACAGGCCTCAAGCAGCGAGTACGCAGCCACAGCCTGTAAATCCTGTCGCTGGTGGGGCTCCTCGGCCTCGTGTGCGTGCTAGGCGCGGTCAGGCGACTGATCCTCACAGCATTGCGGAGAGGGTATAATCATCTCTGTCGCTCCTTGTTTTTTTTTTTTTTTTTTTTTCTGGATGACTAAACTTGTTTTAAGTACAGTTGCGTAGGGAAAGAATCGCAGAGAGGATGAAGGCTTTGCAAGACCTCGTGCCAAATGCTAACAAGGTTTATATACTCAGCATCGTTTAGTGGTGCTTATCTTTTTGTATGTTTTTCCCAGACGGATAAGGCCTCGATGCTGGATGAGATTGTAGACTACGTGAAATTTCTGCAGCTGCAAGTGAAGGTTGGCGCTTTCTTTGTTTTCATTTCGAGAAGCTTCGAATGCGAATGTATACCCGCAGGTTTTGAGCATGAGCCGGCTTGGAAGTGCGGCAGCTGTTCCATCTCTCGTGGCAGACTTACCATCTGAGGTAAAAGAAATACTTTTCTTTTGCTGCTGTTCTTACGTTTCATGTTCCAGGGAGCAAACAGCTTACTGGCGAGTACGCTCAGCCGCAGCACGGGGATCTCCCACGACGGTCTCGCCAGCGCCGAGCGTCAAGTGGCACGGCTCATGGACGAGGACATGGGCTCTGCGATGCAGTACTTGCAGAGCAAGGGCCTCTGCCTCATGCCAATCTCTCTGGCCACGGCGAGCGGCAAAGTCCCGCTCAGCGCGCTCCAGGCAATCGGCTCCGGTGACAAACAGCAGTACACGGACGCATCGGTGACGGTCGCCACCGATAGAAGTGGCTCCGCGAACAATGCCGCCACAGGGAAGGCCAAGGAGGCGATCATGGACAGCTCTAGCAACAAGAGTAACGAGGGAATCAAGCAGCCATCGTCCATCAAGTCTCCCAAGAGCAAGACGAACTGATTGAGCCGATGATACGGGAAGGAGTTGCGGCCAAAGCAACACGCAGTGGTGGTGGTGGTGGCGTTGGGCTTTGCTGTGAGCCAAGGTGAGTGATTGTTTTCTCGCTTTTTTCTTCTTTGTTCGTGTGATCTTCTGGTTTGACAGTGGAAAACGTTGTGTGCAGGCCTGGCCATTTGTAAATACGTTGGACAAGATCCAAAAAGTTTTGGTGGCGCGGAAAGATTCGCCCAAGAGAGATGGAATCGAAGTGGGTCGATCTTCTACGAGTTTTATAAATATTCCCTATTGCCGCTTGCTTGATTGGAATCGACAAGAAATCGAAAAAAACTACTATCGCATTTTGTATAGCTTGGTTTGAATGGGAAGCAAAAAGTAAAAGGAGAAGAAGAATCTTTTTTCGTGTGGTTGACCTTCCAACGTCATCCGAAACGTCACTCCCGCGCACGCGGGGAAAGCTGACGGGCGCGACGGGCCGTCACTAACCTAATACCTTGCGTGGACGACTGGATTGTGCTGCCACCTTTTGCTTTTTCTTGGACGCTTTTCAATTCCGACCCTTCGATCGCATCTCCAAACTTTTGCAAATTAGAAGATTAAATGTGATTGTTTTGGAGGAGGGGTTTTGGGATTTCTCCATTTCCTTCTTTGTGCCGCATCACAAAAGTTGTTATCGTGGCCCCCATGGTTGACTGCACTGCCCTTCTCGGCTTTTGATACTACACACACAGCTTTGCATTGCTTTCCCTCTTTCCTTTCTTTCTTCAATGCTTTCTTTTTTCTTAAAGAAACTCTTGCTTGCTTGTACTGGTACAGCACTGTTACTGCTACTTCGCAATATGTCCACGGGGGGAATGTTCCATTTTCCAGTGATTGGGAGAGGCCTGGGTGGGATGATGTCCACTTCACACGAAGAGATGGAGATTTGCTAGGAATTCTTGCAGCCGCGCAAGGGATTTTGAGAGGTATAACACGCCCATCCAAAGCTCGACTCATAATCTCTCTGGAGCTTCCAAGTTTTGTCAATCGACTTGGGCGATTCCTCTCTATCTCTGATCGCTCGCAACTTATCACTAGACAGCGTGTTCAATTGATCCTCTTTTTTCTCCTTGTGTTTCTTGCTTTTGTTTGTTTGTTGCAGGGCCGAGGAGCCAAAGTCAAGGCTGTAAGGGTGGCCTAGAACTCTAGCACGAGGACAAAGCTCTTGGCATTTTCTTCCAGGTGCTTTGGACAAACACTTGAGAGAGAGGTATAGTGTTTTTCTCCAACTTCTAAGCGTCTAGAAAGCTTGTCTTTAACGGTTGCCACTCTATTAGGCGGCTTAGAGAGCCTCCATACTACGTGATCTCTAAGATATACTGCCAAAGAGAAATCTCCCAACACATTCTTTTTGTCTTGCAAAACTAACTCTCTTTCACTCTCACTCTCTCTTTGTGTCAGGAGTAAAAGAAAGTCGGCTCGCTAGCTCCTCCTAGTATACTGAACCAAAGAGTTCTTTTCTACTGAAAGAAAGAACTCCTACTCAACTTTATGCATCGTCCTCATCTTGGCGAGCGCTGGAGAGTCACCCTCTTGTTCGTATCCTTGCTCTGCTTTGTTTTCCACTCCGGAGTCACTCATGGACGACATCCTGGAGATTCTCAACATGCCGTCGTGGTCGGATATCGGTGGCCTGAGGAACCAGCTCGAGTTTATCAATCCACCATCCGGAGCAGCGCCTGATCAACCGGGAGCCTCTGGGGACTCCAAGGATCACTCAGCAGTTACAGAAGAGTGCCAGGATCAGTCGCAAGCTGGATCGTATGTGGACTCCTTCCTCCACAGCCAGCAGCAGCAAAGCTTGCTGGATCATTCTGGCTTGCAGCTTAGCGGAGGAGGAGGAGGAATCGGCGTGAACTGCAACATCATGGCCAACCAAGGATGTTCTTCCTCGCCTTTCCCCATGCTCCTCCCGGGCGAGGCAAACTCGGTCATGGCTTCTCTCAACTCTCCCTCCCATGGAAGCTTTGGCGATTCCTCTCGGCTATGGCAGCAGCAGCAGCAGCCTTTCATAGGGGACCTCCAGCAGCAGCTCAGGCCTGGAGATTTGTTCAATCTCAACGCTGGCATGTTCTCCTCGAGATACCGCAGCGCTGGAAACATTCCCTCAAACTTGAGAATGGTGAGTCGATTGTTCATTGGGAATTGCTGCTCATGGTTTCTTGGTTTCTTCTTTCTTAGCAGCACAGGGAAGGAGCGAGTAGTGTGTTCAGTGCTTATGGATTGGGCCAGCAGAAGCCTCAAATTCAAGCAGTAAGTTTGATCTTCCTCTAAAACTCTAAGATGGAAAACTCTTGCCGATTTGTAGGCTCCATCGCGAGGTTCGTATAGAAGCGCTCAGCCTGCCCCTATGGCTCCAATTTCTGGAGCTCCGAGGCCTCGAGTTCGTGCTCGCCGGGGCCAAGCCACCGACCCTCACAGCATTGCCGAGCGAGTTAAGATCCTTGCCAGCTTTGTCCTTTAGCTTGTTGATCGTACATCGAGAGAGTTTTTACGCTGAGCTTGTGGATCTTGTGATTTCTTTTTTCCAGCAACGCAGGGAGAGAATCGCGGAAAGGATGAAGGAGCTGCAAGGATTGGTACCAAATGCTAACAAGGTATATAGTCTGTATATGGAATCATATGTCATGGAAACGCTTTGGGTGCCACAGACCGACAAAGCGATTATGCTGGATGAGATAATCGAGTACGTAAAATTCCTCCAGCTCCAATCAAAGGTTTGTGAAAACTATCTTTCGGTCACCTCATATACCCAATGGTTTGTTTTGTTCCTTTGCCAGATATTCTCAATGTGTCGCATGGGAAGCTCAGGGTCCCAGCCACCTCCAGAGGTTTGTTATAATTCTGAAACTTCTTCTAACCAAGCTCTTTGGTTATGGCAGTCTTATTCCAGTGCCATGGCTACGAGCTTGAGCCAGAGCAATGGCGCTTCGGCAGAGAGCTTGGCGAGCCTGGAGCGGCAGGCAGCTCGGCTCATGGACGAGAGCATGGGCAGCGCACTGCAGTTCCTCCAGAGCAAGGGCTTTTGCCTCATGCCCGTCTCCATGGCCGCGGCTTTGTCCGCTACAAAATCCATCCACCAGCCAATATTTCCTCAGGAAAAGGTCGAGGCCTCCACAGTAGTAACTGCAGAGAGGCCTCAATAACGTTAGCACCTTTAAGTGAAAGTTTCGCCAGTGCAATAAGTTGATGGTATTTCATGTTGACAGTGCCTACGCTACATTTTCATGAAATCCTTCGGGAGGCGAATTGGCTTGACAGCCCTCTCCAAACTGCTTCCTTTCTGTAAAACCCTATGAAGGTCTTCTTCCAGAGGAGCGAGGAGCGATCTGGTTACGTCGGCAGCCGCTGCCGCTGCCTATTCAACAGATTGCCCAGGTTTTTGTTGTAGTGCCTTCGACTCTCATAGTCCATGGAGGACAGTCTGACCTTGGGCAACAGAGACCGGGACTGGGCAAGAGAAAGGAACCCTTCCAGGTATGGGGTTACCTTGGCCCTCTATCTACAGCCGATTTCTCATCTTCCACGGGGCGCTTTAGTTTACAAATCGTTCAGCAGCTTTACATGTCGCCAGCTGCCGTTTACAGCGTGGTGTTAGTGAGGAGCCGCTGGCTCTCAAGCAGATGTTCCGGAACTCGTTCACTATAGAGGTGGATGTTTATCGAGAATTGAGGGCATGCCCCAGCTTGCCTAAGATGGTCGGTAATGGCTTTTTCCTTGCGAAAGAGTGCCAGAAACAGGTCGAAAGGCCTGTCCCCAAGAGGCTTGATAAGCCGCAACTCGACGTCACCCTAGTTTGGGAGATACCACTAGGTTGTATTCATCTCTCATAATTGTTCACTTAATTTTTTATTCTCTCTTTGGTGTTGTCATCTTAGAGAACATCCAAATAGTCACATTACTCCACTACTTTTGAGTCATTATAATTGTTTCTATAATATAATAAATATCATAATTTCTATTGACTATGTATCAGACTCCATAATGCTCTAGTAATTTTTCCATGATGCTTGCTTTGTATGCTTGTAATGGTTAAGCTCTAAACTTGGTGACTGGATACAATTGCATGCTGTAGTGTCTTATAATACAATGATTTCAACCTATATAATTGAATGAAAAACACTTTTTACAATATTTTTGTAATATGAAGTAGTAGAAAAGGTGAAGTCTTTTAATTATATGTTGGAGTGTGGCATATTAGTTATTGTAAATATAATTTTGGGCATTGAAAAATATTTATTAGTTAGTCCTTTTGGACATTCTCTCTTTACTAGCATGATGGCATGAGGTGGATACTCTTGGTTTCCTTTGTTAGTTTTTACCCAAGTTAGCCATGTATACTTGACTAAAGATGGAATTTTTAAATGATATTAATCAAACATACTTGACATGGTTAGAGGAATTCATTTGTTGGCTTGCATTAACTAGTGTTTAAAACCCTTACAATATTGAGTTTAGTCCTTCAATATTATTAAATAATATCTTACTATGTCTACTGCTCATATATTGGTTATATTTCAGTCTTATCATGTATTTATAGAAAGTGCTTAGATTTGCTAAAGAAGCATATCTTCAAAATGTAGAGAGTATTTTGAATGCCATAGTGTTATTTCCATATTTAAATTCACAATCTAACAAGGGGTTTCAAATGTTTAATAAAGATAATGGTTAGAAACATAGCCAATCACATAAAATATTAATTTAGCCCACTGGGCTACATTGTTCTTTATATATTCAATTTAAGTCTAAGACCAAATTCCATCCCATGATAGTCAATGGGATACTTACCTCCTTATGTTGTATGTTAAAATTATATGACACCATTTTGCATGTAAGGGCTAAATAGTGTTTATAATATATTTAAGTGTGTACTCCCTTGTTATGTAGTGCAATAGGCTTGAAGTTTAACTACAAATTTAGGTGTGATACATTTGGTATTAGAGGAATTGTCTTAGCAATTTCAATTATACCATTAGTAAAAATGTTGTATACATATTTTTTTTATTGATAAAGACATAGATGACAAAACAAAACTATGCTAATGACTCTAAAACCTTTAAATAAGCAAATCAAGAGGAAGAAACTCTTAATTGAGATTAAGAATTTACAAAAAAAAGTTCACAAGTAAAGAAGGAGAACAAAAAAAAAAGAAAGAAAGAAGTAGAGACAAATAAATAAATGGACCTAAGTAACTAGACTTTTTTTTCAAGTTTTAAGGATAATAAAGTTTTGCAACCACCTTCAATTTAAACAAATTTAAAAATTAAAGTCCCCAAAACCACCCAAACTTCATAAATATAGAGGACTATCAAGTTTTGGAAGATTGAGTATAATATGAAAAACTACTTAATAGTGGTAAACATAGATGATTATATAAAGGTGTATATATAGTTTTTCTTCATTGATCATACCAAAACTTGGTGGTACTAAATTGTAAAAGGGTAAATTAGAAGTTAGACTAAGATATGAACTCGTATTCATAAGGAATATTTATTGGATCTTCATGTAGAGCTGTGATAATTAAAGTAGCATGAGGACCTTATATACTAAATCAACACATTTGCTCATAAATACATTATGATTACAAATATAAGTAATAAAGATGTCAAGAGTTAATTCATAAAAAATTTAGGTTCAATTTTTTGCAATAAGATTTTGAAGAGGCAAGCTAACAAGTTGCCTTTAGTCAGTTGTTCATGAAATAATATCAATAATTCTAAATTCTAAAAATAAACAAAGTGAAAGTGTGGAAGGGAAATTTCAGTTTACAAGCAATAGTTAATAAAAATGGTTGTTGGCATCCACCAATTGCTTCATCTGGTCTTAATCCTTCTACTCCTCCTTTTAATTGGTTTAAGCAATAACAATTTATAAAGTTTGCTCTTAGTGAAACTTATTGTGTGAGTCATTACTTCCATTATAGAGAGGTAGGACATAAGTCATTAGAATGTCTTAACAAGTATAAAATAAGATCTTGTATTAGTGTTATAAAGGAGGATAGTAGTGGTGAAGCTGAAATGGTTGATGAATTGGCTAATATAAATTATGAGGAAGAAGAGATGAATTATTTTTCTCATGCTTTTTTTGTAGTCAATATAAGGATTGATTTGTTAATATATTTTTTTATTATGTATAAACAGTTGTTATAGCATTACAAATTACTAATAAGTATATGCTTATCACAAATGTAATTGTAGGTATCAAAAGTTATCTATCAATGAGTCCTTTTAATCTTCTTATCAACACATGTGCACTTAAACTAAAAAGGCACTAAGGAAGTTATCATTTAGTCAAGTATACTTGAGATAGTGATAATAAATTTATGTTATTGGCTTGCACTTTTTAGTGTTAAGAACCCTTATGATATTGAGTTTAATCCCTCAATATTTGCTAAATATTAGTTTACTATGTTTTCCAAGAGACTTTCGTATGTGTTAGTCCAGTTTAGTTATATTGCCTATTTGTCTAGATTTGTATAAGTTATAAATTTTCCTTTCCAATATATTAACTTACTTTGTCTATCCAACCATCTTTGCTTTGGTCTCAATTAAATTCCCTCTCCAAAGTTCTCACCTATCATATTAGTTTTTACTTAATCATACTTGAATTTAACAACTCATTGGACAAGTAATGGGTTATTAGCCATTTATTTATGGATTCTTAAACTCTTTCTCAATCCCCCTCCCCAGACATCACCATTCTTAATCAAAGTGCATTTTTGAGCATGCACCACAAGAGCAAGAAAAAATCTATTCATATTGATAATCTCACTGGTTTTTATAACCTTTGAAGACCCTTCTGCATTAGATATAGTAGATACAGTAAACTGTTTGACATATTGTGGCATCAGGCTTTGCAAGAGATGGATGCCCACCTTCATTAAGCTTTCTTAAGAAAACAAGGTAGAGCTTAGCCTACACCAAATACTTATGCAGTGATTTCGTTTGCTAGCACTACTGTTAACCCTTGTGGCACATATGATGCCTCAAAATACAATGAAGGTTTATTGTTTGATTGGCTGCCACATTGATTGCTATATGTTAGAAGCTGTGGCCCAAGCAAACGACCAATCCTCCCATAAGCAGAGCCAGAAGAGTTTTTTAAGGCTCTAACATGGTATTAGAGGCAGAATATTCCGTTTAAGTTGGCCGTGGAATAAGAACTTCACTCAGGTTCATGACTCCTACATGACATGAGGCCAGCACTTCAACAGGAGTCATACACCACATTTGTTTGCAAGCTATTTGTGAGGCTCAGCCATGAAGAGGTGGATGGGATGATAAAGGAGCTCATGAACCATCGAGGACCAATCTTCCTTGTACTCAATGTTCCTGGCATTTATGTGTGGACTACCGAGGGTGGAATACAGTGACAATCAAAGGTAAATTTCTGATTCCCAAAATCGAAGACTTAATTGACAAGCTTGGCAAGGTGGCATATTTCTCTAAGTTTGATCTGAGATTGGGATATTATCAAAAAAGATGGCTTTCCAAACTCACTAGTGTTATGAGTTGACTAATTGGCTAAGGAGGTGAAGGTAGGCTACGTTTACTTGATTCTCGTTTTTTTGCTCTTGGCTATGGCCATTCTTACTGTACATTTTCCTTTTCCATTATATATTGACTCCTGCCCCTTTATCGGCAGCGAGTAGGTTTTGACCTTGACAATTGTGGTTTGTACCAGTTTGATGCCATTTGGGCTCACCAAAGCCCCCACCACCTTTCAAGGGATGATGAATAACCTTTTCAACTCCATGCTTTACAAGTTGGACACTGTCTTACAGCAGCTGGAGGATTTTCCACTGCTCGCAAAATGTCCATTCACCAAGCACAAGGTGGAATACCTTAGCTTCTGGGAAGATGAAACCAGATCCAACAAAATTGGAAGCGATTTGAAACTGGCCAGCACCTTCTATAATGAAACAACTCCGCGTGTTCTTGGGATTCTGCAATTACCTCCGAAAGTTTATAGAACACTACACCACCATTGATGGATATCATTTGAGCAGGCCAATTTTCCTGGAGTGACGACACTCAACAAACTTTCAGCAGACTCAAATGTCACATTTTTGAGGCCACGGACTAGCTCCTCAAGGAATTCCTCCACCAAAATTGGAGACTAAGGAGGGTCGTCCAATCCTGTGTCCAGAAAGGATAGTTGGAGAGAATGAAAGGGACCTACGAAACAGGGCCATCAAAGAGTAACGTGCGATGGGAAGGGACAGATGCAACATATGACACTTGTATGACCGAACAAGAGTTCAACCAACTTCATGAGTGTGATCTCTCTCTCGAAAACTTCTCTTTTCAGCACAACTCTGGAGGACTAGAGTTGAGTGAGACTTGTGAGGAACCAGTACGGGACGGTATAGTAGTGTGGAACGCTAGGTTATATTTTCTGTATTTCTTTTTCCTCCTCCCGCTTGTCTTCCTTGTTTCCTTTCATTCTCGCTGCTTCTGTTCATCCATGTTCTTCCACCGTTCACACGGGTATCGGGAGGACTAGCTGGATCGAAAACTTCCAGGGTGGCTTACCAAGTTGGAGAGTTTGGATTGAAGATGATCTTGCTGGCTGGACGAAGCGTACGCGCAATTGGATCTTTAGAAGTGAATGTTTTGATCAAGTTTAGAAAAAGGTTTTTTTGTTTGCGTTTATCACACGAATCACGATGCTCTTCCACGCGAGCAAACTCTCGTCCTAGTGTAGGATGTTTGCAGTAGACGATCTCCTCGCAAAACATCGGCAGAAACTTCGGCATTGCATCGCGCAGTCATCACCATTACTTTCTCTTGTTTGCAGGTGGTGGCGGAGGCTCCTCCTCCTCCACCGGGCGCCGCAGCTCAATCCCCCTGCTCGCCAGAAACGCCATGACTCGATCGCGAACAGGGCATGTATCGAGCTCAAATCTAGATCTCCATGAGCAAGCTCCCCATTGCCGTAGAAATCCTCCACGTCCGCGAGGAGAGAGTAGGCGTCCTTGCTGACGGTGATGATGCCACTCGACTGCCCGGATTGGATTGGGTGCGTGCTTGCGGTAGCGGCTCCAGGTGGGGAGTGGGATCTTGGCCTCGGACACCGATCTGGGAGAGGCGCGCGGCAGAAAATGGGAGAGAAAGCTTCAATTCCTCATTGACAATGCCACCTGGATCAATGCCAATAAAGACATCTACGTGTCAAATTAGTGCCACTCAGAAACTTTCATCTTGGAGGAAGATTTGATTAGCTAATGTTCAACGCCGTACCAAACTTTGAAACTCAAGTGAGATTGTAGCCTACTATAGCTTTTGAAAGCGGAAACTACTGGGAGGCAGCACTATAGGATGATCTATGATGTATACTTAGCTCTGGAGGTGGCAAACCAGCAGCACCGGCGAGCGCCGCAGCCAATGGTGATAATCGGGTTAAGGCGTGGAGGGAGGTAGCGTGAAAGCATAGTTGGCAAAGCTAGCCAGCACAGGGCCACTCGATAGGAACCGCACGGTTACGACCTGCACTATTCCACCCAGCCATCTGAAGGCTGACTGCATCTGGAACTTCGCCAAAATCATTGTCGTATTCAGTATACGCATGTTTGAAGTCAATGAGCACGAACTGGTCCAGGTTCTGCATATGAATGATGTTCTCCGCGTTGAGGTTCCAATGCCTGCGGTCAATAAGATATAGATGGTAACCTGCTCTCGAGCATTTTGGTCTGCCCACAATGTAACGAAGAATCAATGAGTCTTCACAAGCCAAATCCTCCTAAAAGGCCTCTACTGTAGCCAATTATAACCATACGTTAAATATGTGAAAGTGATAGTAATATACTCCACTCAAATGGCTTTTATTCCACTTAAATGGCTAACTCATATCCTCCAAGCTCTCTCTAACATCTAAGTCTCATAAATTCCTATATTTGGCTATAAACAAGCCAAAATCCCATGAATAAATCTCAGACATCAACATGAAGTATATTTTATGATGGTGGCATAAATTCCTGCGCTATAGCAGCACATATCATGCTCTCAACTCTTATAACAAATGTTATTAATAAAGAACTAAAAAGGAAATTGTTAAAACTTGCTACAAATATAAACTAGTGTAAAAATGTTTTAAAGCCTTTTTCTTTTCTTTAACTAAAAATAAATACCCCATCTGTGACGACAGCAAACACTACAACCAATTTTCCCATGTAAAAAACCTCAAGCAGCCTCCAAGTAGAGAAGTAGCCCGCCAAAGTCTACATGAATACTCCATCAAAAGCCAAAGTCATATAGCAAGCACAAGATGCCAAGGGCGGGTAACTATTGCAATAGAGGTAAGAACCTCTTTGCTTCTCATCCTCCAAGGCTCTGGTGGTCTTCAGGTGGAGAAGTGGCCTCCAAGAGTTTGAATGAGCAGGCTAGCATCATGTCGTTGCATGAAAAAGCAAGCCTTCCAATACATTTGAAGGCCAACGCTAATGGTAAAGATGCCTCCAGATTGCTTTTAGGAGCACACTAGGCATTGTAACAAGCTGCAAACCATAAGAAAGAAGAGCCACATTTTCCCCTTAAGAGGAACACAAAATTGCATCATTATGCCCTTTTTCTAGTAAAAATGGTGCGAAAAAGGGACGGCCCAGATTGTTTTCCTTTTTTAAATGGTTAGCATTTTAAGTATTTAAATTGGAGGATATTCTGTTCTTTTAGGGGAAATTAGGGTTCTTCAAGGATGCTGGGAGGGCTCTATGGCGATCTTCCTCCCCCGTCTCAATCCTCATCGGCTTCGGCGTCCTCGGGATCCTCAGCGACAGCATTTGCCGCAGCGGCTGCGGCCGCGGCTGCTGCAGCGGCGGCAGCCGCGCAGGCCGATGCCGACGCTCGAGCAGCAGCAGCAGCAGCAGCAGCGAGCGAAGATTCAGCCAAGAAGCACAGCTTGATCGGCAATGGCAAGCTCATGACCCCGCCAGCGGCGCTTCGAAAGGCAGGTATTTTCGCTGCTCCTCCCTCCGTCTTGCGCAACCAGTCCTCCGCCAAGGCGCCGCCTCCTCCCAGGCAACCGCCGGTTGTGGCTACTGTGAAACCAGTGGCGGTGGCGGCGACGCCAGCAGTAGTAGCGGCGGCGGTCGCGGTTACTCCAACGCCGCCAGTGGCGGTGCCCGTTTGTATCATCGACGAGTATGATCCCGCTCGGCCCAACGATTACGAGGAGTACTGCCGCGATCGCAAGCGGAAGAAGATGGAGAAGGAGCTGAAGCGAGATATGGAGCGGCGGAGGGAGGAAGAGGAAGAAAAAGAGAGGGAGCGAGAGGTGGCAAGGCAGAAGGAGCTTGAGAGGCAGCACAAGGAAGACGTGCATATAAGCGGTGAAGAGGCTTGGAAGAGAAGAGCCATGCTAAGTGCCGGAGGTGGTCGGGGGAGCTCTTCCTCCTTCTCGGCTGCCGGGCCATCGGACATACCACCACCATCTTCGTCTCAAGTGGAGGGCCACCATAGCCATGGTGGCAAGCAGCAACAAAGCCAGGGTGGTGGCAACGGGAATAACAGTGGAGGAATGACCGCTGCCCAGAGGATGATGGCGAGAATGGGATGGAGAGAAGGCCAAGGCTTGGGGAAACAAGAGCAGGGAATCACCACTCCTCTGATGGCTCGAAAGACTGATAAACGCGCTGGAGTGATCGTCAATGCGGGTGAGCTCAAGAAACAACAAAATCAGCAGCAGCAACAAAGGCCAGTGGCTACTCGTGTTGTTCTACTCCGCAACATGGTATGTCTAGAACTTTCCAAGTTTCATGTATTCAAGGTGGTTTTTCTCTCCTTTCTTTTCCAGGTTGGTCCCGGAGAAGTGGATGCCGAGCTCGAGGAAGAGGTTGCGTCCGAGTGTAGCAAGTTTGGCGTGGTGACAAGCGTGCTGATCTTCGAGATCACCGAGCATGACTACGCTCCAACCGAGGCAGTCCGGATCTTCGTCCAGTTTGAGCGGGCGGACCAGGCTAGTAAAGCTCTCGCGGATTTGGATGGCCGTTTCTTTGGTGGGAGAGTAGTGAGAGGCAGCTACTTCGACGAGGAGAGATTCGCTCGCAACGAGCTGGCTCCTTTACCAGGGGACAACTAGATTCAGAGGAATAGCTCGGTTTCTTGGAAGAACATGTAAGATCACAAAAGTCAACTTCTAGTCAATTAGTACACTCTTGGTCAACAGTGATCACTTTGTTTCTACGTTTTCTCCCTGGTGGGGCGGCGCCTGGCGTGAGAACGAAGCAAGGAGTGTATGGCCCATTGAATGAAAATCACAGTGGATACACTCGACATTCCATTTCCACCATGATATAAATTCTCGGATTGTTCCATGCGGGTACCAATGCGGTGCTCGATCGCGCTTCCAAGAACTTCGAGCAAAGGTAAATCTTGCTCGCGATCATTGTGCTTCTCTTTGTGATTCTTTCTGAAAACTCCAGGGCTACGATGATCGCGGCTCTTCCCAGCTACAGCAGCAGCGCCCTGGGCGATGATCACGACGAGCAGCAGAGCTCCTTCCAGGGCGGGATCCTGGAGGTGCGCGTCCACGACGCGCAGGGGATCCACAACATTTGTATCTACGACAAGCAGGACGTTTTCGCGAAGTTCTCCTTCACGCACGGCAAGGCCGAGCCCGTTTGCACACAAGTGATCGCCAAGGCCGGCAAGAACCCCGTCTTCAACGAGAGCTTCCAGCTGCCCGTGACGTGCCCAAACTCGGTGCTCAAATGCGAGATGTGGATGAGCAGCCGAGCTCACAGCTACCTCGAGGACCAGCTCCTGGGCTTCGCGCTCGTTCCTCTCTCCAGCTTGGCTTCCAAAGGCCAAGACCAGCCGGAAGCATACGGTCTCTCCTCCACCGAGCTCTTCCACTCCCCGGCCGGGATCGTCCGCCTCACTTTAGCGTTTCGGGAGGGAGCTCTCGCGTCGGATGATCACGCCTCGCCCGCCGATCAATGCTCGCCAGGTCCGGTGGTCGTGGTGAAGAAGAAAAAGCACGGGTTCATCAAGGTGTTCGAGGATGGCCACGCGAGTTCTTCGTCCGGGTCGGAGTCGCCACCTTGGCAGGGTGATGGCGGCGAGTTTGAGAGGATCGAGTTCCCGGACTTGCAAGCCGCGTCCGAGGATCAGCAGCTGGTGTCGAGCTACCTGGAGATATCTTCCTCGTCGCACAACAGCAGTGGGATCGTCACGGGGCCCTCGCTCCTGTTCGAGGCGAAGAGCTCGAGCAAGGATCATGATTCCGGGAACTTAACGAGCAGTCACCATCACCAATACCACCGAGCAGCTGAGAAGAACAGCTCGCCCTCGAGCAGCGAAGTGGGCACCACTTGCTCCGACGATCATGATCAGTCGAGCGACAGCAGCGGTGTGAGCTCTGGGCCTCCAAGCGATCATCATGGATTGGGGGAGAGCTGCAAAGCGCAGCCGCCGTGCCGTGGAAGCAGCCAGGAGGCGTCGTCGTCATCGATCAGTAGCGACTCTCCGGACATGCAGCAGCAGTTCGTGGACATGTACATGAAGAGCATGCAGCAGTTCACGGAGGCGCTGGCCAAGATGCAGCTCCCGCTCGATCTGGATCGCAAGGATACCTCCACTCCAAACGCCAAGAAGAGCAAGTCCCACCAGGACAGTGGTGATCATGGCAAGAACCACCGGGTTTTCTATGGCAGCCGAGCCTTTTTCTAAGTGCTGGTCAGAATAGATATCATGAATGACACAAGCTATGGAGTGATTTGATTTTCAAAGCCTTCAAAGAAAGGTAGTGGAATGAAAACAAGTTCTCATTCTCATGTTCTTGAACTAAGATTAGTGGAGGAAGGTGGTGAAGGAGACGGCCTGGAGAGGGCTTCCACAATGGTACTGCTGGATGATATTGGCCAGAGAGAGAACCATGCGCTTGGCGATGGGCTTCACCAAGGGATTCCTCTGCGGCACGAGCATGAAATTGTAAGTGTGGTTCTTACCAGAGTTCCCTGCTAGAATGTTTGCAACCCAAACGTTGATGTAGGGGTAATTCAAGAGCGGAGTCGCTAGTGCTTTTTGATCTGTCATCACCACCAAGAAGAGACAAGCACTACCATTTCCACAAAATCCTTCAATGTCAACCGTGATGAATTGGTGCTGCTCAAAGGGATGAAACTGCCATTCCCAACCGTGGTAGAACCATATTGTACAAGCAAACCCATGGCTGCATAAGCACTCAAGAGGCACAAGACAACATGGGCCATTTTATATGTGAATGCAACATGGAGATTATTTCTTAGGGATTTATACATGGAATTATGCGGTTTACAGTTAAATAGTCAAAGACAAGGTGGTTTGTTATGGACGCCGGCACTGCCAGCAGCTCCAACACCATTGGTGTGGCGATGGCTCCCCCGGAGCTTGCCTGGTCAGGATGGTGGGAAGTCCAACACTGAAAACGCTCGAAAAGCTTTTCAAGCAGCGGTGCAGGAGGGAGAAAAGACACTATCAAACTCGCTGTGGGTTTGGTATCGCAATGATGCTAGCCTGCAGCAACAACATGGAGAGCTTGCTCCACAGCAGCAGGCATGGAGAGTTCGCTCAGCAGCAGCAACGTCTTGGAGAGCTCGCTTTACGATGCCAGCAGCAGCAGCAACAACATGGAGAGCTCACTCAGCAGCAGCAGTGTCATGGAGAGCTCGCTTTATGACGCCAGCAGCAGCAATAACATGGAGAGCACATGCAATGTCGTGGAGAGTTGTCAAAGAAGTCAAGGTCATTATTAGACGTGATTAATAATAATTATTAATAATAATCCTACTTAACCTGAACTTTTGGAATGAAGAAGTTCAAGTCCTTAGGCATTAATAATTTTTCTGTGCTCACTTTGCTCACTCTTTATTCAAGACAATGGACCAAAAAATATGGATGGAAACTCCACACATGCCAAATCAAGTTAAAAACCATTTTATTTCAGTGTTGGAAAAATATTAGATAATAGGGAGAGAGGAAGTGCTGAAGAGACAATCAAGTTACTCTTACTACAAAGCTAGCAAAAAGAAAAGAAAAGTGAAAATCCAAAGACACAAGTGTAACAATTTATTCAAGATGTTCTGAAGTAAAAAGTGTAGAATGTAGCACAATTGTTGCCAAGATTGTCCATAACAAAAACAAAGTTAAAATGAAATTTCCCTTTCTTTTATATTAAATGTGATCCCAAAGTTTTGTCATTGTGTGAAGAGAAGGCTTAGGTGGAAATCAAAAAGCAAATGAGTGGTGTGATGAAACACCACCAATATGTTGGTGCTGAGAAGAATAATTGGATGGTAAAGCATAAGAAGGTTTAAATCCCTATGCAACACTGGTTTTGCTGTGACAATTAGCATTAAAGAATGAAAAGATTTAAATCCCTATGCAACAATGGTTTTTATATGCTCACTTGTTTTAGTGTTTGTGGAGTTTCCTTCCACAAGAGCTCACCTTATGGTGCTAGTAGCAGCAACAACATGTAGAGCTTGCTCAGCAGCAGCAATGTCATGGAGAGCTCATTCAGCACAGTAGCAGCAACAGCAACGATGTGGAGAACCTGCACAACAGCAGTAAAAGCTCTCCTCACGCAGCAGCAACAGGATCAAAAGCTCGACTCACGCCAACAGCAACAGGATCAAAAGTTTGCCTTGCACCCGCAGCGCTTCACGCCACCAGCCCCCGCTGTTTGTACATGAGGCCAGCGATCCAAGTTTGCAAGCAGCAATCTTGGAATTCGAGGATATCACCACCTACACCACGACCACTTCAGCTGTATGGTGTCAACTTCCATGCAACGGCCTTGCGGCCATGCTGGTGATATTTCCAGCTCTTGTCGGTATAGCAGTGGCGATGATCTTTCTCGCTTCACACTGTCGGACATGAAGAGGTGGTCGAGGAGATGGTGGCTGCTGCCCCAACGAAACAAAAGGGTGACCACTCTCTATCTCTTTCTCTCTCTCTAACTACTTTTCCACGAGCAAGGGTATCGAACACGTATCGAACACGTATCAAACTTGCGGGAGCTGGAGTAAAACGATCAGAAAGTATGGGGGGGGGCGAGAGCTTGATCGGATAAAGGTGGCCGAGGATCATCTGGTGTCCAAGGTATTTGAAGTTACCTTCAAATCTGATCGATCGATTGTCGTTGCGAAGTGATCTGGTAAAGGTGCTTGATCCAGAGCCAAGAAATCTGTGATCCATTGGGAAGTGGATACTTTATGGGAATCTGTTTACATTGACACGAGAACGATGTTCTAGTCGAATTGGTGGCCACTTTCTAGAACCGGCTATCACTGCTTCAGTTCGTCTCAGCAGGAGTTTTCCTATTCAACTCTCTGAGCCGTAAGATCAACCTCAACCTCATCTCAGCATGCTTCTATCTCTAGCATGCATTGATCCAGAGCTGCTGTTCTCCTTATCACTCCATCGCCATTATCTGGAGATATCAAGATGTGATAGTAGAAAGGAGTGAATGTATCGGGGAGGACTAGCTGGATCGAAAACTTCCGGGAAGTTGGAGAGTTTGGATTGAAGATGATCTTGCTAGCTGGATGAAGCGGACGCGCCATTGGATCTTAGAAACATTTAACACTTGAGAAGTGAATGTTTTAGAGCTCACGGGCTTGCAAACTCTACAGCATGATCTAGACGATGAGCAAGGGATCGTAGCGCTGGCATGTTTGCAGTACAAGATCTCTTCGCAAAACATTGCCCACTCTCGATCGCTGCCACTACTTTCTCTTCTTTGCAGGTGGTGGCGGAGGCTCCTCCTCCGGCGGCGCTTCCTCCACTGGTGGCGGCGGCGGCTCAATCCCCCTGCTTGCCAGAAACGCCATGACTCGATCGCGAACAAGGCACGTATCGAGCTCCTCTAGCTCAAACACGGCCTTCCCTCCTAGCGCATCGCGCCTGATCCGGTTGGTGATGAAGATCACGGCCGCTTGGTAGTCACACTCCCTGTCAAACTCGAGAAATGGATAGAACACCGTCCCACATCCCCTCCCAGTGCCCGGCTGGTTCTCCACGTACGTGATGAGCTGCTTGTTCTTGGTGCTGCCCATGCTCTTCCCGCGAAATCCAACGAGCTTCTCCATGAGCAAGCTCCCCTTGCCGTAGAAATCCTCCACATCCTCGGCCTCCTCCTTGAGAACGTTGGAGACGTCCGCGAGGAGGGAGTAGGCGTCCTCGCAGAGCGTGATCCTGGCGGTGATGATGATGTTCCTCCACTCGACTGTCCGGATTGGATTGGGCGCGTCCTGGCGGTAGCGGCTCCAGGTGGGGAGTGGGATCCTGGCCTCGGACACCGATCGGTATGTGAGAGGGAAGAGGCGCGCGGCGTGGATGGCCTGGAACACCGGGTTAGCTCCCGAGCCTTCGCTGGTGACACTGGCGTCCTCCTTGAGGTAGGCGTCGATTTGGGCCGTTGTGGGCGGTGGCATAACTGATCTGGTAACCGCAATGCTCGCTAGGTGATCGAGATCGAGACGTGGGCTCTTCGATGCTGCCCTCGCGATCGAGAAACATTGAGGAGTCGTGGCAACCACAGCGATTAGGGTTCCTCGGAATATGCCACGTCAGACACATGTCAATGGTCAAGAACCAATAAACACCTTCCACGTGTAACTGTCATAGTAAAGGTAAAATGCAAAAGCTAGCCTCTACAAAAGGTTAAAGAATCAGTTAGAAGCAAGGCTAGGGTTCTTGATTTTAAGCGCAGATCATGGTAGCGATGGTGGAGGCGGCGGCATCGGCGGCGCAGGCCAGCCGCCCGGATCGAGCGGATCGGAAGGCCGTGGAGGCGGCGGCGGCGGCGGCGGAGGAGGAGATCAAGGCGCTCCAGGGCCGGATTGTGGAGATCAAGGCGCAGCTGGAGTCGTCCAAGGGCACCAGGTACGCGCAGTCGCCGGAGCTCGTCGAGGCCCGGAACAAGCTGGCCGTGATGAACGCCTCCTTCGCGGACAACCTCGAGGAGAAGCGGCGGATCAAGGCGGAGCTGGAGGCGGCGGACAAGATCCGCGAGCAGGGCCGCGTCGAGGCGCGCGCGCTGCGAGAGAAGTTGCCCTCCGCCGCCAAGCTGGAGCTCATCGACGCTGAGATCCAGCGGCTCGAGTACCGGATCCAGCACACGTCTCTGGCGATCAAGGAGGAGAGGGGCGCGATGGCGCAGCTCAAGGAGCTCCGGCGGTCGCGGGAGATGGTGGTGGAGTACAACCAGAGGATGGAGCAGATCGCCCAAGAGCAGGAGCTCCGGGGCGCGGCGCTGGAGCGAGCCAGGGAGAAGGACAAGCTCCTGACGAGCCTCAAGGCGGAGATCAACGAGCTCAAGAAGACCATGGACCAGATCCGGGAGAGCGAGGCCGCCAAGGCGCTGGACACCTCGGCGCTGGCGGCGGAGAGGAACAGCGCGTACGAGAGGATCAAGAACCTGCGGGAGGGGATCAACGCGCGGTGGTCGGAGTTCTTCGCGAGGGAGAAGGTGGCGAGGGAGAGGAGGGCGGTGGCAGCGAGGCAGAACGAGGAGAGGAGGCGGGCCGAGTGGCTGGAGCGGGAGAAGACGAGGAAGAGGATCGCGGAGGAGAACTTTGTGGAGAAGTATACCGACGAGATCATCCTGTGCGAGCAGCTGGGAGCGTACCTCCAGAAGCTCACGCCGGTGGAGGTGGCGGAGGATAAGTTGCCCGAGACGCCAGCATCGAGGGAGGCGGTGGCCAGCGTGGAGGGATTCGGGACGATGCTGCAGAGCAAGAAGAACCGGAGCGAGGATGAGGGCTGGTTTGCCGGGAAATCGAAAGAGCCCAGTGCTAGAGGCAAGAAAGGAAAGGGCGCGGTACCTCCGAAGGAGAAGCTTTGCTTGTCTCTGGACGCGCTCGCCTCCTTCGCGAAGCTCGGCATATCGCCGCCCTCCACGGTCGGGGAGGCGAACAAGGTGGTGGAAACGCTCAAGACCAAGAAGGGTGATTTCGTCAAGCTCCAGGCCTCGGCGAAGGCTGCGAGGGAGAAGTCAGATGCAACGGAAGAAACAACGAAGGACGAGATGCCTGAGAGTGAATTCCCGAAAGTTGACGAGGCTCTTCCACAGAAGCTGGAGGAGAAGCTGGAGGCAGCCGCTTGAAAGCAAAAGCAAACTTTTTGTTCTTCACAGTGCTCACACACAGATTGATTGAATAAGCGATTGTTTACTCGTTTGTTACCTGCGTGTCCACAGGAGCTTGGAGCTTACCCGCGAGTAGTAGCTCGAACTCGTCGAGCAAACGATTGTTTACTCGTTCGTTAGCTCTGTGTCCACGAGAGCCTGGAGCTTACCAGCAAGTAGCTCGAACTCGTCGTCTCGTTTTATCATGCACAGCCGTATGTAGCGATTGCTGACTCCAAATGCTCGTCCTGGACGGCCATTTATTCCTGCTGCTGCGAAAATCGAGTGACAGTCTTCCTCTTGCTCGCAGCGGATCCAAGCATAAGCTGCAAAGAGCTCACGCGTAAGAATGTATACAGGGGTAATACTTTGTGGCATACCTGGAGAAGGAGACACTTCTTTCTTGAAGAAGGAGCAATGCTGAGAGTCGGTTTTCTGAATAGAGAACCTGGTTGAGGCTTTGAATATCTCCGCTAGTGTCTGCCAGCGTGACTGAAGTGTGTGGTAGCCGAAGTCAAACATCCGCGCTTTGTGGCTTCCGCCATTTTGATATCCATCCAGCAGTGATTTGATCAGCCGGTGGGCTCGCAACTGTGACTCGCGAGAAACTCCAATGGTTGACACCGCAATGTACATGAACATCTTCTTGTAGACCTCAATGTCTCTCACCAGCGCCCATCTGTTTAAGTTGGTTCTCGAGTCAGAGCTGCATCACATATTATAGAAAGAGTTTGCTTACCCGATTCTGGAGCCCGCATGGCCGGTGGTTTTCGACAGCGAGAAGAGCATCACATCCTCGTCCAGAGCTCCAGCGATGGCAGTGTAGTGCGGCCAGTAGTACGCCTTGTCGTGGATAATCTTCGCGTTCGTTCCTTTGTAGACAGGCTCTAGAATCGAAGTGTCGGGGTTATTAGGAGCAGCCAGAAGCTCCACCACTGAAGAAGGATCGAATGCTTTCTTCTCAAAAGCCGCCACAGCATCACCACCCCATTGGAACTTGGAAGAAGAAAGCACGTCGACTTGTAACTTGTAAATCTATGGTAGCCAAGCAAAAGCTTAAGAACCAAGAGAAGAAAAAACCGAAAAGCTTTACCATGTAGCACGGTGCTCTGGTGACAACAGCGCCAGGCTTCTCCGGAAACGAATCGGAGAGAGCATTGAGAGCGGCGGCAACGAGCTGCATGGAACCAGTTCCGATAACCAAATACTTGTCCTTGACGACGGCATTCCCGACCAGTTCATGGAGCTCCCTAATGCTGTCTTCGAGCTCTTTTATCACGTACACAAGCGGAAGTTCTTTGTGCGCGGGCGAGGATCCCTTCTTCTTTACGCTGTAGCCCATTCTATACCAGCTGGGCATGAACACGCCGGCATCAGCCCCGTGCTCCATCCAGAAGGGCTCCAGGAAAGTTGGATCGCCACTGCAAGCAAGTACGAAGAAGGTTAGGATTGACCTTTCTATTGAAAGAACGAGAAGCTACGCAACCTTAGCTCATGCTCTAGCAAGGAGAGGATAAAATCTCCAGGCAATAGAAATCTAGAGCTTAGATTCGTGAGGATCTTACGCATCGGCATCGACCATGCAGCCATGCTGGAGCTCAGAGCAATTCACGCCAGTGTAGCAGTCGCTACACTCGCACGCCAGATCGCTGCCGTCGTTGAAAACCCTACCATGCCCCGAGCAAGAAGCTCGCAATGCCGGCCCGGATTCCTGCTCCATCCAATGCGGCCCGGGGGACGGAGAATCCCAGTAGAGATCCATCAGTCTCACCGCCGCAATCGAGCAGAGGCACACAGCTGCCGAGAGAATCATCTCCCGAGCCGCCATCGCTGGACGATAAACTAGCGTTTTGGGGCATATTCGCCGAATCATTTCAAGCATAGGCAAATTTAGGGCACAGGAGAATATGCTTCATTTAAATTTTAGTTCGCGGGATCTAGTTTTTGGCACTTTCACGAGCGAAGGGCATCTTCTCCGCACATTAAACAACAAAGCACAGAACAAAATCAAAAGAATCGCGCCCGCATTGTGAACCGCATCATGTCCCCACCTCCAAATTTTACCTTAGAAGCTCTAAATGCCCGGCTTCTTGACCGGAGCGGATGCGCATCCCCAGAAATCCCAGAGCACTAGTCACACAAATATCACACTCGCTAACATCACGGAATAGAAACAAGGAAGAAAAAAGAAAAACTGTTCTTCGAGTCCCTTTCGTACCAAAAGGAAATGTCAAAACTTCACCTCTTTTCTTCGATCGAGTTGTGTTCCTGTGCTGACACCTCTCGCTCTTTCGCTCGCTCGCTCGCCCGCCCTTCCTGCGAATTTAAAAACGCGAGCTTTTGTTCACAGCTGATCGATCGACAACGAAGTACCTCGCTCGCCAATCGCAGCTTCCACGACAACTTCGTCGGGAGAGGCTAACAGATCTCCTTGCTCGCATTCCATTTGCTTCCACTGGCACCAACAAAGCAAAGTTTAGTGTTCCATTGTTGGCCCAGGAACAACCATGAAGACAGAGCATCTAAGTCGAGACATATCAAAGAGAAAAGTGGGACCTTTGAAGAGCGCATCGCGGTGCATATACCAGGAAGATGGAGAAATATGCTCCCATCTAGGGGTCCGCGCTCCTGTAAGAGATCCACGCACCTATAGAAAAACGGGAGTTTAGTCCGGAGGAGCGTGCTTTCCCCAACTTGAAAAGTTGTCCTTCCTCTTCCAAGAAAGAAAAAAGCTCTTACCTTTCCTGCGTGATGGCGAGTGATCTTGATGTCGACATGGCTCTGGAGCGGCAAGGGGAGGAAAATCTCTACTGGTACTCCGAGCTTCAGGCTTGCTCGGTCGATCCCTGCGTCACCAAAGTCTGTGATATCGATGTGATTCAAGGAGGGGACTTGGACTTACTTTCAGTGTGGCCGGAGCTCGAGGAGCAAGGTATTACTTCCGCCCTCCTGGACTCGCTGCTCGAAGGTGGAGACGAGCAAGAGCAGCCGCCGGCCTCGAAGGTTCGCAAAAGACTCCAGCCGAGCAGTCCACATTCTGTTCTTGAGCAGGTCTCGAGAAAGGACGAAGTTGAAGGAGCTGAGGATGATAACGACGACGAGGACGAGGACGACGATGCCCTGTGCGAATTCCTCCACCGAAGCCTGGAAACGGAAGCCTGCCTGGATTTCTCTCCAATAAATTTCGATGACTTCCAGCTCCCTGGAGACCCCGAGCTCGATCTCCAGCACCAGGAGTTTTTCGGATGCCGTCTATTCCATCTTCTTCTCGCCGGAGCCGAGGCCATGTTTTCCCAGGCTCTGGATCTCGCCAAAGTCATACTTTTCCGCCTCCGGGAGCTCACTTCCTCGTGTTCTTCCAGCGGTCCGGTCTTCCAGAGACTAGCTCTTTACTTCACCGAGGCTCTCCAGTCACTCCTCGACGGTGCCAGGATCACCAAAGTTGCGAGCTCTTGTTCCATGAGCTATCTCGATTCGATCACGGCTTTCCAGGCTCTCCACGAAGCATCCCCCTATATCAAGTTCGGCCACTACGTCGCGAACCAGGCCATCCTCGAAGCAATTGGCGACGATAAGAGAGTTCACATCCTCGACTACGATGTAACTCTCGGGATCCAGTGGCCATCTCTTATGCAAGCTCTGGCTCTTCGCGAAGGAGGCACTCCGCATCTCCGGATCACCGCTGTATATCGCCCTCACTCCAGGCACCAGCTCGCCAACTTCCAGGAGACCAAGGAGCGTCTCATGGAGTGCGCTGCTGCTTTCAAGATCCCGTTCTCCTTCCACCAGGCCAAAGTCGAGGACGATGAGGATTCCAAGCTGGTTGGCCTGAAGTTGATCAAGGGGGAGACGCTCATTGTCAACTGCATGCTCCACCTCCTGCACGTACCGCACAAATCGCCGTCGTCAGTGCTCTCGTTTCTCAAGTCCGTGCAAAAGTTCTCACCGAGGCTGGTGACCTTCGTCGAGGAGGAGGTGGTGAGCTGCTTGAGCGCTCCAAATACCGTGGACAAGTTCTTCCAGGCACTCCATCACTACTCCGCCATACTCGACTCGCTGGAGGCGAGCTTGTGCGAGACCACGGCTCACATACTCGTCGAGCGCGCGTTCCTGGCCACCAGGATCAAGACGGCCCTCATCGCTCACCACCACGCGCACTCCAAAGTCGAGTGGTCTAGCCTCTTGCACTCGGCCGGATTCCACCGAGTTTCACTGAGCAGGAGAAACATCTGCCAAGCCAGGCTGCTGCTGGGACTGTTCAAGGACGGGTACCAGCTCAAGGAGCATCACAGCGACGAGGAGATTGAAAAGTTGCTTCTTTCCTGGAAATCGAGACCACTGATTGCTGCTTCCGCTTGGACCTGCAAGAACAAAAGCTCGGACGGATCAGAAAACGAGCAGCAGTAAAAAAAACAAAACATGAAAGCTTGCCAACCTTGTCGTCCGAGCTCGGTAAAATTTCCATTCAAGTATATAAGTAGAATACATGATAAGAATTAGTCACCACTGCTTTCCCTTGCCTCAAAAAAGAAAGAATGGGTAATATATACCTCTAAATTCGAGATCCACAACTTCACACTCGCCTCCGCAAAAGCCTGCGAGATATAAAACCGGCAACCCGTTCAATTCGAGTGAAGAGGGAAGAACAAAGAGAAAGGTGCGTGTTTACTTTTTTCTCTTTTGCTGCATTCTCCAAAAGCAAGCCACAATTCCAAAGCCGCAGCTCGCCATCCCGATCCCGAAAGCTGCTCCGATTGGTACTGCTACACGGCTGGTGCTGGAGCTCTCGTCCGGTACCGCCACTTCGGCTTTGGATGACTTTCGCAACGCTGCGTCGAGCTTTTCCTCCGGTATTGATACGAGAGCTCGTCCGTAGAGCTCCGTCAGGAATGTATACACGGCAGATTCGTCCCATTGATCCCCGTCTTTCTTGCATGCTGTACAGAGTTCTTTCGGAGGCCACTGCTGCTTTGGGAACTTGGGATCGCCAGTCTTGGACTCTGCTTCTGCGTCTCCAACTCTTTTGTTAACCTGTACGGAGGAAAAAGTTGAGTTCCATTTCTACTCTTGCATACAAAGAGAGCCAACCTGGTTGTGTGCGCGCCAGAACCAAAGTACCAGATCGCGCCGCGAGTTGATAGAATCGGCAGCACTTGCGCATCAGAACCAACCATTGCATGTCAGAAGGGATGATTCTAGAATGACTATTAGAAAAAGTCTACCTCGTGCTCATCGTCAAGAAATGGTCGCGACAATCTTCACAGTTGAAAAAACTTGCTATAAAATCACGAATAGTTTGTATGGCTGTTTTGCTCTCCGAATCTTCTACACGGACAGACAATGCATGAAACAAAAGCCAGAGTCCACAGCTGTATGTAAATTGACGTCAGTACATATGAAAGCCACCGGGGATCAGACCTGTAGCCGCGAGTATAGTTTTTGCTCCCACGGCATGTTATCCACTCATCGGTGCTTGTTCTTTCGCCACAAATCTGTAAACGCATTAGCAAGTCGCCATTTGGCTTTGCATTTTCGCCAGCAAGCCAAATGTCTTCAAAATGGACTAGAATGTTTGCACTCCCCTCACGACACCTGAAAGAAAATGTAAATATTCTCATTTCCATCTGAAAGACAAGAAAAACACCTTTTTGACGGATGGTGGACGGCAAGAAGCTGCAAAAAATGTAAAAAAGATGCACGAGTTTTTGCATTCAGCATCTAAATGAAACGCAGTTAGAAGATCATTTTTTCAATTGAAAGCCTTTCCTACTTCGCTTTGTAAGATAAACTTGTATGAAAGCGCTGTCGACTCCTCAATATCGTAGAGGGACATCATCGGCTTTGCTACCAGATATCACCAAAGGAAAAGGAACCTTAGCATAGCAAACACCGAGAAAACCAAGAGCTACCTGGATCTGCTCGACTATACTCGCACGTGTAGTCTCCCGAGCTTCGTCATTCAGCGTATAAGATCTGGAAGAAAAAGGCAGAGTTAGCAAAACGATAACTTCGAATACAAACACAAAACTTTAGAAACACAAAACTTTGACATACTTTCCTATGCGCTCGTTGATCCAAGCTAGTAACGCCTCGGCTGTTCTTGGAGTTTTTGGTATCAGCTCTATTCCACTGCTAGCCTTCGAATCCTTTGGGTCGAAGCTCTCCCAGGCAAGCTTTCCGGGATGACCCCAGTACAGAGAAGGATAGTGATCCACTTGAAATCTCCTGCAAATGGGAGTGTTGGCCTGCAAGTGAACAAACAAGTCGATGAGTTTCTCTTCCTCTACAGGACAGTGAAGCTTACATCCTCTGCGCAGTCGACCTTGCCCATGAAAACCTCTCCGGGATGAACAGCAGTTCTTCCATTGAAGAGCTTCGCGACTTTGCTGTATTGAGGCTGCGATTGCAAGCTCGTGTCAAACCACAAAGACAAAGAAAAAATTTCAAAACTCCACCTTATAAATCCTACACACCGGGCACCTGGAGCAAAATCCTCGTGAGAAACTCGTGATTGCGCGAGCTCTAAGCTTACCAGTGAGCGTAGAACTCCACGAGCGCGAAAGTGGCCGGAGCCGCCCAGAGCGTTTGATTGAAGCTGTTCTTGGTGAGCTCCACCGCGGCATCCGCCTCCTCCTGCTCCTCCAGAGGCCGTGAGCTCGCAGATCGCGCTGCCAGGAGCAGCAGCATCGAGAGGATCGGTAGCAGCGGCAGCTGCCAGGGCGCCATGGATCCTGCCCAGGGAAATTAGGGCTCTTGGTGACCTAACCGAGGAGAACATAGAGAGAAGTCATTGACAGTGACGACCCCTCTCGTTTGTTCTTCGTTCGCCATTTTTAACGAAACCACCCCACACGAATAAAATGACTAGAAAAAAAAATTATTCCTTTCTTCCACTTCTATGATCACAACGCAATCACATGATATTGGCGCGACTCAATCCAATGCCAGCACCCTTTGCTCGTCCATGCCACGAAATTTTGGCTAGATCTTCGTAAGGCTTCTCTTTCGCGAGAAGAACTTTGCTAGACCATCGTAAAGCTTCTCTTTTCGGTGTTTGTAGATGGTGTCATGGGATTGAATCATGCCAATATCAAAGCACACATCGATTTCGATGATCCGTCCTCTAGATACGGGGAGAATTGGAACGAGAAAACGGGAATTTTTACGATGCCCAGTTGCGATACTTACTGTTCGTGCTTGCTACATACGTTTCCTGCAAGCGAATCCAGTAGAATAGAATAGAGAATGGCACCAATAGAGAATCTCAAGGACATACAGACACTCTATACAGTATAGAACTCCAAAACGGTGTGTTCCTCCTCATTCCTTCCAGCAATTCAAGGCTCAAGCAAACCAAGCAAGCAAAGACTGTTCTTCCTTTCTACGCCACGAAGAACAGTGCCATACGCAAGCAAGCAATCGACACACTCACATTCCCCTGTATAAATACACCACTCTTCGTGGCGAGAGCGCGCACATTTAAGTTACGGTTGGATCCAGTTTTTTTTACTTCTTTATTTTCTCTTCATTCCTCCTGATCGCGATTCACGACATGGCCAATTTCCCCCCAATTCTTTACTGTTTGTGGGCTTTTGGATTTGCTTTCACGAATCTGCGCGATTGAATTCGCTGGAAGCAAGCGTACAAAGCAGCAGTCGTCGCGATCAATGGCGAGCCAGTGTGTGTGGCCCTCCCATCTTAAATTCTCCAAAACACAATCGCCAGGAAACGATCCAGATCAGATCCCTGCCCCCTTTTTTCAAATGGGCCGAATATTCCCGCCATCGACGTCAGCTGGGCTGCCACGTCGCCGCCGCGTCCGACGTGGCGCGATCCGGACGCTGCCTTCAAGGTACTGCATTTGCATGTGGCTTGTGGTTATGGCGAATAAATGCCCCTCCCGGGCAAGGGCACAAAATAAAAATAGAAGATATATTGTCAATGAATAGAATATTCATTCATATAGTCTCGGGGCGCTCACACATGAAAGTCCGAGACCAAAAGATTTAGAAATGCCGTTTTGGATGGATGTTTTCGAATATCATGGATAAATTCGTATGAGTTCTTGCCAAGTTTGATCTCTTTGGACTTTTTGATAGAATAGAAGCGGTCAATGTCCAATTGAATGAAGGTGATGGTACGATCATATGGTATGAGAGATTGGCAAGATCAGCAATATAATGACCCCCTACCTGCTGCTGCCACCCTGCGATGCATCGAGATGCTCCAAGAAATTTACCGCCACCCAGACAAAAGGAGCTGTAAAAAGAAGTGGTAGAAAAGGAGATATGGAACCCTCTACGTCTTTGCCATCGTGCTGGATCCAGAGGCTTGGCCCAGTTTTATCTCCTGGCGAGCGAGCTGGACGCCAGGATCGAATAAGAAACGAAGGGTAGAAAAGATTAAAGGGTGTGCGTAGCGCTTTCGTTGAGTTTGTGCTCGCCAAATTTTCAATGCTGGCTCGTACGATCGAAGAACATTACGTGCTAATCGCCAAAAGAATGGCAGAGGCCGTGAAACCCTTGTCTGGCTATACGGTTTAAATGCCTCTAGGATGATCTGATCGGAGGCAGAGAGAAAAAAAGCGGAAAAAAGGACAAGTCAATAGTGGTAAAAAAGGTCAAGTTTCGTCAAAGGTTATGCTAGCCCTAATCTCTAAACGATATTTCTTATCACGGTTTTTAGGGTTCATCCATTCTTTTGTCCACGTGGTTGTCCATTTTACGGTTGTTCTTGGCCCAGGATCCGAAGGCGCTGGCTGGAACTGCGCATTCTTTCCGCGATCTCGAGGTGATTTTGGGGAGCGCCGCACGCCAGGTATGGATCAGCGCAGGGATGAAGCTGCGCGATGCCCGAAACTTGAGATTCAAGGTCACGCCCTGGCGCCGATGGAGAGGATTGAGAATGCCGGTGAAATTTCGCTCGATCGCCTCGTCTACAAGCTAGTGAGGGCAAGTTCTTTCTCTCCTCTTCTTCCCGTTGAGCATTTTAAATTTTCTTTTTGTCCTTAAAGAGAATTTAATCTCAGGTTGGAGATGATGGATCGGTGCTTCCTTCGGCCGAGGACGATGACTTGCAACTGGAGTGTTTCGCCGAGAGGGAAAATCTTCACGAGATTGCTACTCCTGCCGTGGTGAAACACGGTGACGACGTTAGTTCCAGGAATGTGAAAGAAAAGGCTGGCGTTCACTCCACACGGGGCCAAGAAGTTCTTAGCAACGATGAAACGGTTCATCCCTCTACCGTGTCCGGCGAAGTTTACTTTTCTGTTGCCACGAGGAACGTCGAAGGGAAGAGAAAGAGGAAACCAAACCGGCGATACATCGAAGATGAGACGGACAACCTCTACTTCACGTCAGAGCTTCACAGGCTGGTGTCCGATGGAACTGATTCGTGTGATGGAGCAAAGTCTCACCGGGATATAACTGAGAAGCTTGACAGTGGCAGCGATATCGAGTACCCGGAGTTTGAGTCTCCAACTCAAGCGGCAGTGTCTTACGGCGGTCGCCGCAGCAGCATGATGGTATGCTTTAGCTTTCTTGCGAGTTTTTGTTGATTCTCTAAGTTTTGTAGATTAAAACTCTCTGATCGCACAGAAACTAAAGGCTGAGCGCAAGGCCTCTAAAATTGCGCGACTCGCCTGGTCGTCCCGCAAGCGCGGTCCCAGCATCGGGTCCAGCAAAGAGAAGACAATGTCTTCTTCAGACAAGGTTCTTTCAGCCTTTGAGATTTTGCCTTTTGAAGAATATTGTGTTTCCGTTCAGGAAAGTTACTCCGATCTGGAAGGTGGTATGGATCAAATGCTTGAAGACTACGAAGATGTGCAAAGCATGGGTGGAGAAGATTGTGAGTTGGATTTTTCTGGGGAGCATGTGGAGACTGTTCCAACACCGAATGGAGGTACTAGGAGAAAACATCATCGTCCCTGGACGCTACGGGAAGTTATGATACTCGTCGAAGGGGTCGCTCGCTGTGGTGGAGGGAAGTGGGCGGACATCAAGAAGCTCGAGTTTTCATCTGTATCATACCGCACGGCTGTTGACTTGAAGGTAAAGTTTTTCTTTTCCTTGACTCTTGCTCATGGCAAAGTTCTCAGGATAAATGGAGGAACCTACTCAGAGCAAGTCGTGTCCACTTTACTTCAAAGCAGCAGCAGGTACCTTCAATGTATTTTTTCTCTTCGTGCACTTTTGGTCTGATCCAGTTTTTGGTTGTGATAAAAGGCGGAGCACAACAAAAAGAAACATTTTGCAGTTTCTATACCTCAGCCAATTCTTGCTCGTGTACGTGAGTTAGCAGCTTTGCAGAACCAGCGTACCAGCATGCCTGTACTAACCAGGACAAGCAGAAGTGGGAGAACACTGAGGAGAAAGTAATGAACAGCATCTAATCCCACTCAGAGGCGGTTTGTACATGTATACACTCGAGTGCACAGGTGACATTGTCAAACTAAAACTTCTCTTTTGTTTTTCTCTAAAGCTGTGTCTTGTTTACTTATTCAAAGACAATCTAGGCCATGCGTTGGTTGGATGTCTGTCTGCTCGTCCCTCAAGGGCATGGGGAATGTCATGGTAAGCTCGCACTCAATTTCACACATCCTTTTCATTCTCAAATCTCTACATTATTCAGGAAGTGCTTAGACCCTCCGTCTACAGACGGTGGACTTACAAGATTGGACGCACCGTTCGAGTGTCGCCTTTCCACGCCTTCCAGCATCCTCACGACGTGCGTCATCTCGGGTCGCTTGCCTGGTTTATCGACGCAGCACAAACAGGCTATCTTCATCACCTCGAGAATCTCTGCCGAAACTTCTCCAGCGTTCGTGGGGCTGGCGGTGGTGTTTTCGGCTAGCATGGCCGCATCGATGGCCGACTGGAGCTCCTGGACTGTGACGCGCTCTCCAGCCAAATGACCGATGCCTCCAGCTCTCCGGAAACCTTTGTCCGTGGGACGCTTCCCCATGATGGTCTCGAGAACGACAACGCCGAAGCTGTAGACGTCTCCGCGCATGGTGGCCATGCACGAGCTGTTATACTCCGGTGGAATGTAGCCAACGGTCCCGGCAACGTCGGTGGAGACATGAGTATCGCCAGCGTCTCTCATCAACCTCGCGAGGCCAAAGTCCGCAACATGAGCCTGGAAGTCTTCGTCGAGAAGGATGTTGCTGGCCTTGATGTCTCTGTGGACGATGGGAGGGAAGCACTCGTGGTGGAGGAAAGTAATGCCTCGGGCTGCTCCGAGGATTATGTGGAAGCGCGTCTTCCAGTCCAGAGGCTTCACTCCGGCATCCCGACAGTGCAACCAGGTGTCGAGGTTCCCGTTCTTGAGGTACTTATACACCAGTATCCTGTCCTTTCCGTCGCAAGAGTATCCTTTGAGGCACACCAGGTTCTTATGCTTTATTTTTCCCAGCGTCTGCATCTCGGCAAGGAACTCTCGCTCCCCCTGCATTCCAAATCCTCCGTCTGTTATCAACTTCTTCACCGCTACGGCCGATCCATCCGCTAGAATCGCCTTGTACACTATTCCGAAGCCCCCGTCACCTATGATGTTTGCATGGCTGTAGTTGCTCGTTGCGGACATCAGCTCGTTCGGATGGATCCAAGCTACGCCTTCGCTCATGTTGGACACTTCCGAGGAGTTGAGGTAACGCTTTTTCTTGCTGTATTCATCCTCGTCTTCCTCCTGCGAGAGTAGCTTTTGACGTTTCCGTATCAGGATGATGAAGAGCGCCCAGAAGCCGCAGAATCCGAGGCTTCCAGCAATTACGACGTACAGAGGAATCAGTTTCTGGACAGCAGAGATTGTTCCAATGTCCGAGCGAGCTTCGTCCTGCTCCAGACGGCATTCTGGGAGTGGAGCTCCGCAAAGGTCTGGATTGCCAGCGAACGAAGAGTTGCCAAACGTCTGAAACTGGGTGGAGCTCGGGATGGCACCTTTCAGATGGTTGTCCGAGAGATCCAAGTCGGACAGGAACGTCAGCTTGCACAACGCTTGTGGAATGGTGCCGGTGAGATTGTTCCTGGACAAGTCGAGCTTCAGCAGCGCAGGCACGTTTCCCAGCGACGGAGGAATACTTCCCTGGAGCCTGTTGTGGCTCAAGTTCAGTATTTGCAAGTTCCTCAACGCTCCCAGCTCAGCGGGAATGCCTCCAACGAGCTCGTTATGCGAGAAGTCAAGGGTGGTCGGCAAAGCATAGCCGATAAATCTCTGTCCCTCGTTGTTGTAGACGAGTGCCGATGGAGGTTTGTCCGAGTACCTGGGAGACAGGCTCGTTAGCGTGGAGTTACTCCAGGCCGTCGGAATGCTCCCGCTGAATCTATTGAAGGACAGATCCACGGCTCGGAGCTTGGACAAGTTGCCGATCCATCCCGGTATCCGCTGCTCCATCCGGTTGCCACTCAAGAAAAGAAACTGGATGGAAGAGAGGCCTGCTAGCTCGTCCGGTATACGCCCCGAGAGAGCGTTTAAGCCGAGGTCCAGGCCGACGAGATTAGTCAGCTTGCCGAGAGACGCAGGTATGTGTCCCGTCAACTTGTTGGAGGCGAGCGACAGCATGAGAAGATTGGAAAGTTGGCCAACCTCGGAAGATATCGGGCCCGAGAAGTTGTTCTGCTCCAGCCACAGCACCTCGAGTGTCTTGGACTGCGAAATACCCAGGGGGACTGGAGAGCCGGACAAGCTGTTGTTGGCCAGAACAAGCGCTCGGAGATGCTTGAGCGTGAAGAGCTCCGGGGGTATGTGACCTGTGAGAAGATTGTTGTTGATCCATATCTCTTCCAGGAGCTGGCAGTGCGCTATCGACGGTGGAATGCTCCCTACGAAGCTGTTCTGGTTGAGGATGATCTTCTTGAGGTTCTTCAGCTGGCCAAGCTCTGGTGGAAGCGGCCCGGTGAAGCGGTTCTCTGGAAGATACAAGACCTCCAAGGTGGACGGAGCGGAGTTATACGACACGCGAAGTGGCCCCGAGAAGAGATTGCTGCCGGCACTGAGAACTCTGAGGCTCTTCGGAAGAGAGACGCCAACGTCGAGCATGTACGAGAGCAGGTTGTTCGACACTTTCAGGTGCTCTAGCTTGGCCAAGTTGGAGAAGCTGTCCGGGATTCCACCTTGGAACTCGTTGGCACAGAGATCGAGCATGGTTAAGTTGGCGAAGTGTCCAAGCTCCGACGGTATCGTTCCAGAGAGGTTGTTTCCGGCCAGGTTGAGATGCTCCAGCGACGTGAGGCCGACGAGGCCACTCAGGTCACCCGTCAAGGCATTGGATGCCATATCGAGCACTCGGATCTTCCTCTGGCCAGAAGCTTTCTCTCGGACAGGCCCGGTGAACTGGTTCGAGGAGAGATTAAGTACCTCGAGCGAGGTGGTGGCGAACACAAACTCCGGGAGGTTTCCAGAGAAGCTGTTACTGCTGAGATCGAGAGTTCGTAGCTGCTGGAACAAGCCCATTTCCACCACCTTGATCGAGTCCAAGGCATTGGAAGAAACATCGAGCTTCGCCAATGCGGCCATCCTGGACAAGTTGGAAGCCGGCAACGCACCCGAGAAGTTGTCGTGCGAGAGATCGAGGAGCTCCATCCGGCGGAGGAGCTCAAAGTCGGAGCTCACGGGCCCCGAGAAGTTGTTCCAGGAGAGATCGAGAGCTACCAGGGACCGCAGCTCGAAGAGACCCCGCGGGAGCTCGCCGGACAAGCCATTGTGGTCGAGGCGGAGGAGCTGGAGCGCCTGGAAGTGACGGACTCCCTCGCGCACAGGCCCCGCAAGCCGGTTGAAGCTGAGATCCAGGGACACGAGCGCAGCGCCGCCACAGGAGCTCGAGAAATCCAAGCGACCACCTAGCGAGTTGTGCGAGAGATTCATCACCTGGAGCGCCGGCAAGAAGTCCCAGACCGGATAGAGCTCTCCCGTGAGCTCCAGCGACGAGAGCTCGAGCTTGACTACCTGGCCCCGGCTTCCCAGCGTCACTCCTCGCCAGGACGAACTTACGGTGGCACCGCTGCTCCAGCTCTCGAGCACTCCACCGCCGCCGCCGCCGCCGCCTAGCCTGGCTCGAAACTCCAGCAATGCCGATCGCTCGGACGCACAGGAGAGATCAGTGGCAGCAGTGGAATCCAGAGCAAGCACGGAGATGGCCACCAAGAAGACATGGTGGAGCATTCTCTCCTCGTTCTTGGGCGATGGTGGAGTGATCACTGGCGATGGAAGGATTGGCCACTTACGCTAGAGCGATGGGTTCCAATGGACAACCATGGAGGAAGACGATGACCCACGAACGACCGAATCAACCAAGAGTAACAAGAGATAGAGACTCTGGCAGTGGGGAGGTGGGGATTTTGGATCCATCGGTATTAGTGGTGGTAATCCCGTGGTGGAGATTTTGATTTTTACTCCGACCAACAACACCCATCTCGATAGACCGAGGAGCCCCCGACAAGTTCACTCGCTTATACCGCAAGAACAGCGCGCGAAACCGCGCGATTGGGGCCTTGACCCACGACCCACGCGCGGTTACGTGCGCGGTCCGCAATTGGTGGGGTGGACCTAAATGTCCCACTTGTGACTTTATAAAATATGGGGTCAAAGACAAAAGGTGGTAATTAGGGCAGTACCAAGAAAAAAGAATTACAAAAGAATCCTTTTTTTAATGGAAAAGGCCCTTAGGGTTATTATGATTCTTTACTGAAAAAGGTGGCCATTAGGGTTTATTGAGAGCCATTGTTTTTCTTTCAGTAAGGCCCACAAAACACACCATCCGCTCGCTGCTCGTTCCATCTCTCGATCTGGCAATTGGTGGGAAGAAATGAGTATAGATCTTGGATGGAAAATTTAGCCAAGAACAAGAAAGATCTATAGATTTTCTATTTTTCTTGCTTACCCATTCCGAGGGACACAGCGATCGATAGTATCGCGCGTACTTCTGGCATTCCGGAGCACCCTCGCCCCTTTCCTTCTGGCACCTGAGAGAAAGATCGCAAGGAAGAATCAAGCCCAAGTTGAAAAAAAACTTTGAGAACTTTGGAGAAATCAAGCAAGAACTTTGAGAATTTTGGAGAAAGAGATCGCAAGAAAAAAAAAGGAAGAATCAAGCCAGAGTTGAGAACTTTGTAAGAAAAAAAGCCAAGAACTTTGTCGAACTTTGGAGACGACTTACTTGTGGAACTCGATGTAGCGAGTGTAGCAGTGCTTGGTCTGGTTGGTCGAAGGGAAGCGAATATCGAATGGAGCGGTTTTTATGTCCGCGACCTGTGATAGAACGTTACTACCACATCAAAGCAAAGAGAAAAAGAGAAAAAGCCACACCCTACCGTTATCGTCCTCCTCGCTTCTTTCGCTTCTTCCTCCTCAATCGCCTGCTTCGATTCGTCATCTACTTCAACCACAGTATCATGCTCGGCCTACACAGAACACACGGATTGGATCATCAAACGATCGAAAGAATGTAGGAAAAAAGAAGGGAGTCTTGCTTAAACCCTAGCGCCAGAGTGAAATGCGCGCCGGGGAATCGCTCTACCATACCTGATTCGCCGGCTGCTTCTCGCCCACCTCAGCGAACGCGATCTTTCCCTGCACTAAGCCCATCCTGCCCTAGAACTTCCCCCAATTTCCTGGATTCACATAAAAGAAAGAGAGAGAATATTCTATCTATAGTATATTCTTTATTATTTAGACCCTTTCGCTTAGTGCTAATTAATCAATGATGAAGCATTCCACTTAGTGATAATTAGTTATTGATGGCGTAGTGATAGATCTGGAGGTTCTCCACGCCCAAGCGCTTGAAGTTGCTGTCTTTCCTGTTCTTGTCAAACTCTCCCCAGTTGAATTTGGCGTACTTGGGCGGGTTCTTGATCGGATCCGTGAGGCTTTCAATCGGGGCGATGTCGGATTTGTAGCTCGGGAACATGAAGTATGGCGATGAGAACCGGTCGCGGTTCTCGTTCACCACCACTCGGTGCTCCACACTGTGATAGAGATCATTGCTCCACACCTGGAAGAAAACCCTTGTTAGATCACGATCAAGGACAATGTCTATAAAGTGCAAGCTATGGAAATGTCTAAGAGACTCTCTAGCATTTCCTTGTTTCTAATGCTCTATAGTGCTCTAGCTCCAGACCTCTTTGTAGTACTAGAGCTATATAGCTTCGAGAGTCCAAACTCTCGAAGAGAACTTTATAGAGTTCTCCTAGTTCTTTCTTCTAGAGAAAGGAAAGATCATAGATCTCTACGAAGAACATGATCTAGGAGAGGATGATAGCTTACTTGCATGAGGTCCCCAACGTTGATCACGAACGCGTCCTTGCGAGGAGTGACTCGAATCCACTCGCCATCCTTTCTTCTCACCTCGAGGCCGCCAACTTCGTCCTGGACGAGCACCGTGAGCGCGCCCTGGTCCTTGTGGCGGCTCACGCCGAGAACAAGATCCGGGACTGGGCACTTTGCGTAGAAGTTGAGTCGCATGATCGAGGTGTTGTCCCTGCCGAAGAACTCGAAAAAGTACCTGGGATCCACGCCGAGGCTGAGCGCTAAAAGCTCCAGGACTTTAAACGAGAGCTCGTCCACAGCTTTGATCCATTTCTCGCAGGAATCTCTTCACAAATAAACGAAGATCATGAAGAAACCAAAAATCTGGAAGAAGAGCGCCAGCCTTACCGGAATTTTTCGCGACCCTCCGGCCACTGGTTCTCGAAGAAGAGATTAAATTCGGATGGGAAATCGTCCTTCCTCTTCACCACGTAGTCGAAAACCTCCTTCCAGTCGCGCGTGTTCTTGGTGAGCTCCGACTCGTAGTAGCCGACAGGATTCACGCTGCTGCGACGGATCTTCCTCTTCTCCTCCAGCGGCAGCGCGAAGAAATCCCGAGCCTCCTTCTCCACATCGCTCAGCAGCTCCAGGGACACCCCGTGATTGATTACCTGGAAAAACCCCCATTCCTGGCTCGCGCTCCGGATTTCCTCCACGATCTTGTCCTTGCCGTCCTGCGATGATCCACCGAGCGCGGCCAAATCGATGATTGGAATGTTGCTGCCGCCGCGCTCCTCGATCGGGGATTCTAGCTGCGATTGCCCACTGGGGCGATGCTCCGGCGGGACAACGAACGAGGGATCGATGCCCAATTCCTGGAGCGAGCGCGCCAGATCCTCGGCGACCGCCGGCGCCGTCTCTTCCTTGAGATTCTCTATTCCCATTCTTCCTGCTAGAACAATCCAATGAACCTGGTCACAAATGTATGGTGATTTTTCCCACCAGTCAGTCAAATCAAATAGCCCTAGAAAATATTTTAGGGCTCTTCGCGAGCAGCGTCGTCGTGGCGATCGATCTGGATGAATTTGTACCAGATCGCGCAGGCCAGGTAGAACGCCAGGTTGAGAATGCTGATGGCGCTGAGCAGCCAGAAGTAGTAATCGAGATGGCCGCGGTTGAGGTTGTTTGGGATCCAGCCCAGCCGGGCGCCCTTGCTCGTGAGCTCCATCACGCAGGTCACCAGCAGGCTACTCACGTAATTCCCCAGCGCGAACGACGTCGGCGACAGCGCCACGCTCAGGCTCCGGATCGCGTCGGGGGATTGCTCGTAGAAGAAATCGAGCTGGCCGATGTAAGTGAAGACCTCGGAGGCTCCAACCAGGAAGTATTGCGGGATTTGCCAGAAGACGCTCATTGGGACCGGCTTGGCTGCATCGATCAAGCCGTGGGCTCTTGCGGACTTGAGGCGGAAGATCTCCACCAGTGCCGCGAAGATCATTGCCACCGTGACGACGATCAATCCAGCTCCCATCCGCTGGAGGCTCGTAAGTCCTCTTTTATTTCCTGTGATCTTTCGTCCTAGTGGAACTACCACGTACTCGTATGTAGGGGCCGAGAGGAGAACGCTGATCATGGTGAAAGTGGAAAGGGACGCTGGCGGGATTTTAAAGCCCGCGACGTGGGTGTTCATGGTGGCGCCTTGCTCCACGAACAAGGTACTCATTTGCGTGTAGAGGGTGGAGAAGAGGATGCTACTGGCCCAGATAGGGAGAATTCTTAGGATGCATTTTACCTCCTCGACTTGTGTGATCGTGCAGAGTCGCCATGGATTTTTCTCGCTGGTTCCAGCCACTGTATCACTGTCGATCTCCGTTGCTGCTTTGTCAAGGTATCTGTCAAAACCGGGGCTTTAATGTTTTTGATCTAGACAAAGCGAGCTCTTTACCTGAACTCGTCACTGTGGAGAATCTTACGACTTCCTTGTATCGCAGAGCCTTTGAAGTCGACTTCGTAAAGAAGTGAGCTGTCCGAAGGAGCTTTTACGTGGTGTTTATGCAGCGCGGCATTAAATACCTGTGCTACCCTGGTGAAGGGATTTCCTCCGGTTCGCTGCTGGCGGTATCTTGGAGCTCCGATAAAGAAGGCTACCACTGCTGCCACCGCTGCTGCGGTTGAGAGCCCGAATCCTACACCCCAGCCGATATTGTCTTCTACGTAAACGAAAAGAACTCCCGCCGTGATTGCACCAAACGTGATGGACATGTAGTACCAGCTGAAGAACCTAGTGGCCTCTGTCTGCTCTTTCGGATCTTCCTTGTCGAACTGATCAGCTCCCAAAGAGGTAAGGCAAGGTTGGTGTCCGCCATAGCCAAGTGCTATGATGTATAGTGCAACGTATAACAGTGTTGTTTTTTCAGGTGAAGTTTTGGGGCAGAAGGACTGATTTCTCGTGCACGCTGGGGGTTTAAACGCTTTCACGGTTGCTGTTAGTGTAAGCAACACCATTCCCTGCACAGAAAATGCTTCGCTTCTTCTGTTTCTTACGGAATTTACTTACCAGGAGGTAGATGACGAGGAAAACTGCTGCAGTCCAGAATCTTCCAAGGTATGCGTCCCCCAAAAATCCTCCAATTAAAGATGTCACGTAAGATGTTCCAATCCAGTTGCTCACGTTGTTTGCTGCGACCGCATTGCCTTCGTGCAGGACTCTGGTGAGGTAGAGGATGAGGTTCGTGCAGACTCCAAAGTAGCCAACGGCCGCAAATCCTTGTGTTCCTAGATCAGCAAGGTACAGCAATAAGCAACAAAGCCTGTAGCAAAAGTTGGGCGCTCGAATATCATCGCTATCTTATATTCTATAAGCACTCAGAAAGTTTAGGAGGATTCTGGCAACTCGTAAGCGATTCTCTACAGTGTTTTCCTGAGCATTGATTTTGATGATCCTTCCAGAGCTGAGGGGAAGGAAGAATACCAAGGATAAGCGAGGATGTAAACCATCCACCGGTTTTGCATTTCACAGCAGGCCTTCCGAACAGATCCAGAGTTCCATCGCCAGTAGCTTCCCGGTTCAGCTGCTTCCCCTTCTGGTTGTCCTCCTGGAAAGACATTCAGTTCATCTACTCGGATCAGCAGAAACGAAAATGGAACTCACCATGAAGAACACTTCCGGCTGGTAACTCGCGCTGGTTCGCTTTAAATCGACTCGGAGAGATGCTTAGTGCAAGGAAATTCTGAAGCTGGAACCAGACAAAGGAAGGACCACAAGGGTCATGCTCACTCTTACAAGGAGAGCGATCTATCTATGCCCCCTTGAGGGAGAAGTTTGCAAGTTTTTATGGAGGACAGCATTTTGAGATGGTGGGGAACAAGTAACTGTTAAAGGAATGGAGTGCCAGTACTACACTAAAGAGAAGGGAAAGATGGTGGTGGTGGAATCCCTTAAGAGGCTCCGTGGACTCCGTGAAACGTTGTGTTGATTCCGAGGCTACAAGAACAGGTTCGGTAAATTTTAATTCTTCCACTGTTTTGAGACATCGATTTGTTTCGCAGAATGTGGAGGAGAGCTGCTCTCCTCTTTTGCGTGGTGAGGTGGACAGAAGTTGCAAGAAAACATAAAATGTGTGGTGCTTGGAGCGTGGGAAAAAGAGCTGTAACGCTCACGAGGCCTTCAAGGTTGAAGTGACGGAGAATCTAAGTGACAAGCTGAAGTTTTCTTAATTACGTGATGCCTTATCTTTGCAAGGTGGAAGATTTCGCGTTCTTATCTCGTGTAGCATTTCTACATGGTCAACATTCCTGAAAGAATCATTTTAAGGTTTGCGTACTATCGCCTCAAGCTTCTTTCTTTTAAAAAATGACTTCATACAGTAAATTCTTAATCATCGGAGGTACGGGGTGGTGTTGCTCAAAACCGCTGATTGGAGTCGCTTTATAAGTCCAGTCCGCTTAAAACCATAAAGGACGGAGGTATGTTTCGTCGTGAACTTATTTTTTTGATCATTTTTCTTTTCCGAGGCAGACATCCGCTCGTACTCTTTCTCACTAGCCGAGAGCACTAGGAAGCAGCTGAGACTGACTTTGGGAAGCCAGCGTTACGCTCCACCACTGGATTGTGGGTTGCTGACTAAGTTTTTCTCGCTTGATATCTTACGAATGCTTCACCAAAGCAATGCCTCGGCCGCTGACTGGCTCCACACTCACTGCTTTGTCGATGCTGGACGGAGACCAGGCACCGCCATAGATGATCTCCTTCTGCGATATCTTTGGTCTTTGGACACCTACTTCCAACACTTTGAACTTGAGATTTCCAAGTCGGCATGGGGAGGCAGTCCGGCCTGAGCGCCGTGTAGCTTTTCCCATTCTAGATTCTCGGCTTGAGTGGTACGGAAGTTGGGCTTTCTACGTTGAAGCTCCAGGTCACGGGATGCGCTTTTATAGTTGTATGTTTTAGCAGTGAATCAAGCTGGCTGCTCTCCCATACAATCTCGTGTACTTATTGGATCAAACTATTCCATCAAGAATTTAGTATTGCTATGCAGAGTATGATCCTCTTGACACTGTCAGCGACCTTGTTGAACCCTTCAAGAATCTCAATGCCAAGGTGCTTAGGACGGTTTTTTTATATGACTGATCAACCCTAGAAGAGAATCTCAAGGAGTTGACCGGATACTTGTTCTGGGTTGCAGCTCGCTTCCACCTTCAACCACAAGCCAGGAGGTACCGATTTCTCCAAGTTTTCGGCATTCAGGAAGGTCCCGCAGCCGACGATAAATCCAGCAGCTGGAAGATCCCTCATACGAAAAACTTTTCATAAGTTATTTTGCTTCTTGGGATATTCCTATTATATAGTAAACCATATAGGTTGCCACTTCTACCTACTCTTTAATCACCAAGATTCAGCCATAGCTGTGGCTCACTCCTCCCCCCCCCATCCTACCCCCATCCTAGAAGGAAGAGGCTTTAATTTGTTGCATTCCCTAGAGCTACCTAAATGAAATTTGATTATAAGTGTAGAATACAACCCATTTATAAAGTATTAGGATTGTGACTATGACATATAAAAGCTTATACTCGTTATTCAAGGGTTTTCTTCTAAAATAGAGGGAACTATAAGTTAAAGTTCCTTTATTATTGTACAAATATAGTAAAAAGTGAGTGATATATTGATAGTTGGAATAAGATTCAAACGTTTTTACCTTATGTCAATCTTCGGAAAATTTGTTTTTGCTCTAGGTCGAAATTTGGCTTGATTCAGATAGAAACATGCTGCCAGCTTCCTTTGTACATTCCATTGGTGCAGATGGAGGTGATACTTCTAAATGATAGATCTTTCTCAAAAATTTCAGGAGTAATGAAATTCTAGTAAATTTTTTAAATTTTAACAACAATTTAAAACTAAGTTTATTTTCTTAAACATGAGGGATAAGTTGATTCTTGTTTGTATAAATTGGAATATAATAATTCTCGATTTCCATTCTCAATATAGAGGCGCATAGAATTATCCAATAATGTTATCCTACAGCTAGGATAGTCAAATTGTAAGCATTCCTCCCAGCAATCATCAAAAGCTTGAGTAATATCATCCATTGTATGCTCATGTATTTGACGAATAAGAAGGATCATTACTAAATGGCCAAGTCTTGAGTAATAAATATCTGGAACTTGATTATCTGTATATAAGCTAACAACATCAAAAGAGCATTGACAGAAAGTATCAGGATTAAGAAATACATGTCCAACTCTTTCACATTCTTTGATTGCCATACTTGAGTATGCAAGTGACAATCTGCATAAACTTAAAAGTAGACCAATTATGAAAATGTAAAACATCTTAAATTTACTATAAATTTCTGCATTATTGTTCAAATATATATTATTTTTAAGCTTGTTTCTATCTGAATTAAGTCAATGGAGAAAAAAAAAAAGTTTCTAAAGTTTGACATAAGGTGAAATCCTTTGAATCTTACTCCTATATCTTCTACCATCCACTTTTTGTCCCCTCTATTGTAGAATGATGAGTATAAGCTTGTATTGCCTAGGGCATGGTGAACAATCCAAGCCAATACTGATCCACAAGGTGCCAGTGGAATGGTACCATATACGTCAACCAGCTGCCCTAGGTATGCGAATGCTATTGCCAAGTTTATATTGCCTCAATGACCCTTTGCACTAGCAATTGCCAATTTCCTATTGTTCCAATAGCACTTAACTATAGAAGTGTAGAAACTATAGCATTGATCCATATGGCATTTTTAAAAAGTGGTAGAATATATAAAATCTAAACATAAGAATCCCATGTAGTGCGATAGATCAATGGAATCTCAAACCTAAGAGTATAAAAGGTGGAATTTTGAAGTGCAAGGGTAGACCAAGCCCCACCCCATGGACAATCACAAGAGATCTCTTATAGAAATTTTTAGCTGTGTGATCCCAATTGTTGGGAAGGTGTGAGAGTCACTCAGAGTGGAAAGAAATTGAATGCAATCGAGTTGGTGATAGCTAGGCATAATACTTTGGCTGATTCTGAATCCAGCACAAACATCATCTTTCTAAAGCTTGCCTAACATATCTACCTCAATATCTCCCTATACATTTTAGTCATGCTTAAAATGTTTGCAAAGCACACTATACACTACTATGACATCCCTGCAGTCCTAGAAGGTGGGCATCTTAATTCTCCTTGGTCAACTTCTATTTAGAATCTTTAGAAGTGGAATTTTCCTTCCACCATTTATTTTCATTCATTTTGTCTTCCTAGAGTTGTTATTCTTATCCAAGGTACCAACAATGGCTACTAATACTATTCCATGAGTAAGTGATTAAAGGCAACTTGCTATATTGCTTCCTTACACTCCAAGTATATCTTTAAATTAAATTTAGAAGAAAGTAAATTTAAATGTTCCAAAAATATCTTTATCACTCTTATTTGCAATCATAATTAACATAGTAACATAGTGCATGTATTAACATAGTGCATGAGGTCCCTATGTTGCCTTATCCATCATAGCTCTCCATGAATTTTAAGACCAAAATCATCTAGCAAATATTATTTATAGATATGAAATTGCATCTTACTCCAACTTTTAATTTGCCCTTTTTCAATGCAAATCTAGTGCCACTACGTTTTGGCATAATTGGTGAGAAAGAATTGTGTATACACAACTTTCATATGATCATCTATATTTACCACTATAAAATAGTTTTCCATATCATAAATTTAAGTCTTTTAAAACCTAATAGTTCTACATACTTTTGAAGTTGGGTGGTTTTGAGGGCTTAAAATTTAAAACTTATACAATTGAGGTAATTCCAAAACTTTATCATTTTGAGAATTTAAAGAGGAATTTGGTTGCTTAGGTTTAGTTGATTTAACTATTTTTTCTCTTTTTGTTCTCCTTCTTTAATTTGTGAATTTTTTTCACAAATTTTCCATCTCAATGTTTTGAGTTGTATATTGCAGTGGTGTAGTCTTAGACCCAAGCTCTTCCTCTTCTAACTTAGCTTCAACCTCTTCTATAACAAAAGTTTCTTCCTCTTAATTTGCTTATTTGAAGGTTTCAACATCATCAACATAGTTCTGTTTCACCATCTCACTAGTTGCATACATGCCTCTATCAATAAATGAATATTTATAAATATGTATACAAAATTCTTACTGAAGGGTGCAATTTAAGTAATTCTACAATATTATTTTAGAGCTACTAAGAAAGTCTCTATGTATGCAACTAAAGTCAAAAACTCTAACAAAATTTATATATGAATTTCTGAGATAATTCCTCTAATACCAAATATATCACACTTGAATTTAGAGCTAAAATCTAAGATTATTATACTATAAAATGAGGGTCTAATATGCACTCAATATCCTTTACTAAACCCAAAATTAACATGTTGAACAATATCAAAGTCAAAGACAATAATATCTTAGAAAAAAATTTATCAGTAAATAAGTTTTATATTAGAATATAAAAGTATTTCAATGAAGTTATCATTTGATAAACTAGTAAGAGATAAAAACCACTAAGATTCATTATAAATTTGAAGATATAGGATAAACCATCTAACAAAATTCAATAACAAATGCATTATCAAGAAAACTCAATGATAAGATTTAACTACCAAACAGTATAGTCATATGTGTTAGACTTTGGGAGATTGAATGGTCAATACTCACAATTTAAATATGGGTGGCACTACCTAATTGGAACTTTTACGTAATTCATTAGAACATTATTCTAGCCATATGGCTAGTGATTGAAAGTGAGGAAAGTACTCACAAAACTTATGTTAGGTTGTAGTGTTCAAAATATTGTCTTAAAATGCATGACAATAGAAATAAAAAGAAGTGGTCCTCTTGCTTAAATATATAGTTATATGGTGAAGAAGTCCCAAAGGTAACTTAGTAAATAGGCCTTTAGACTTTGACCCAATGACAATGTTGATAAACACTTCTATAAGTGAAATTTTGACTTGGTGGGAATCAAAGAAAGGGTATGTTCCCTCGGATCTTAGGGTTTTAAGAATATTTACTAAGGTATAGTAGTATGCAAACTTACCCTCTTAAGAATAAGCAAAAGGAATATGTGGAGATAAAAGCAAATAATAAATGGATAGAATTGAACAACATGAATCGAAGGACTCAACCAAAAGTAATTATTTAAGTTAGGAGTAGAGAATCAAGTATGAGCTCAGAAGTTTACTACTTTCAAACATGATACCATGAAAAGCCTAACATATAGAAATATCCATATTAAATTAGATGATGATCAAGATAAATAGAACTTCCCTATTATAAAGTAATACCTTCACCAAAGCCTATCACCAAAATAAATAGTTGTGACTTAAATTTCAAAAACAAACCAAGATATTAAAATATCTTTAAAGAAAATAAGTGTCACCCTTTTCTATTGAAAACTTCTACTATGAAAACAGTTCAATATCAATCTAGGAAGCCAAGTCATTCTTCTCACACAAAAGAAAAACAAAAATAGAGTATAAATGGGAAAGAAAAAACTCACAAGAATAGTGGCTACACTTAAATAAGAGTGAAGGCTAAAGAAAAATAGTTAAATCTTGTAAAATTAGACATCAAATCTAATGATTTAACATGGGAATGAAAGATCACAAAATGATCTATAACTTGATGTATAAAACTGCAAGAAAGATAAAAACTTTACACATATGCAACAACATAGTATAAGAGAAAATAATTCAAATTTGGTTAAAACTCTATGAAAATGAAAATGGCATAACTCAAATGAAATAGGAAAGTATGGCATATATTATGCAACAAACAACAATGAAAATGAATTCCAAACACTTAATATTACCACAATATGGAAAAGAAAGAAATTAGCAAAAATAATGGAAATGCGTAAATATGAGAAATAAGATTTTGCAAGAATGGATAAGACGGAAAGAATTCTCACCATGCAAAGCTTCATCTTAGAATTATGTTTTTTCTTTAAAAGAAAAACATATGCATATCATAACTCCCAATGAATTTATATCCAAAAAATCACTCCTTA